CCTTATGCCATTAGGCATGTGCTCCTCCACTTGAGCCATGCCCCCCAGTCTTGAGATTTTTTTAATTTACATCGTTTTCAAAATTTTTATTTTAACTACTCTTCCTCTATGTTAAAACACTAAAAAACATTTCTAACAAGTTTTTTTTTTTCTATACATTAAAGAGGTAAAGGGTTGGCAGAGTGGCTCAAGTGATAGGTGCCTATCAAGCACAAAATATGAATTCAAACTCTAGTACCACCAAAAAAAAAAAAAAAAAAAGACAAAAAGATTTAAGATGTGATTTATATATTTGCTGGTTATAGTTGTATTTAAAAGTCAAAATTAAAGAAGTAATTTCTATTTTATCTTTACTTATAATACATTTAGTTTCTTACTCTTGAAATAAGTAGTAGAGAAGGAAAAATGACTGAAAGAGAAATGGAAATGTAGTTTCGAGGCCAGCCTTGCTGGAACACTGAATGTCAGCTTGATATTTGACAGCTTTACTGACATTCAGTCCATCGGCAGGTTCTTCAGACTCTGCCTTTAAATGTGTTTAGAATCTTATTTCTCACTGCCCCACCTCTACCCATGTGAACCTGAATGACCTTTTGCTCACTGTTAAAATTAATCCCATCTCCCCATAAAAAGCCACAATCTTTTTAAGGCCTATGAGCACCGTCTGGCCATGCTTGTGCTCTTACTAAACCTTTTAGACTTCTGGTCCACCTCTCTGTTTCACTCTGCCCCAGCCTCACTGGCTTTCAAGTAAGCAAACCTCTCCTTGGCGCTCTTGACTCCTCTGCTTGAAATGCATAGGGATTAGATAGTCACATGTTCTATTCCTTCATTTGTTCAAATATCAATTTACCAGTGAGCTCTCTCTTAACCACCATAAAATAATGACCTTTCCCTTATCCCTATGCTCCATACTCCCCCACTTCCTTATTCTTCCTGTATTTTTCAACATAGCACTTGTCATCCTTCATAATACCATATGCAGTGTATTTCCTTTTTCATTTATTGTCTTTTTTCTCCTACTAGAATGAATGTTCCATCAGGTAGTCCTTCAAACAGTGTCTGGTACTCAGTGAATACTTATTGAATGAATCCATTAATGACCTAATCCATCTGGGCTTTGCTTTCTCTGTTAGAGTTGTCTCACTCTGGTGAAAGGATAAGTGGAAGGACTTTGAGCTTTCTAGGGTATTAATGAACTGGAGACCTAGGAAAATGGCAGTTTAAAGTATATATTTAACAATCCCCCTTTCTGATATTTATTGAAAATGATTTTTTAAAAATAGGGTTCGTTTCATTGAAACTGAAAAGGTTCAATAAAAATACTGAAGCCCAAGATAGCAGCACTGTTACCATCTGTACTGTAAGACTGAGAAGGATCTATAAATATAACTTAAAAATGTTTACAGTATAGTGAATTTTTATAATTGTATATGCCTTGGCAGCCATTTTAATTATAAATTGGACTTTCTCTTGCTGGGCACCAGTGGCTTACGTTTGTGATCCTAGCTACTTTGGAGGTAGAGATCAGGAGGATCGAGGTTCAAAGCCAATCTGGGCAAATAGTTCGAGAGACCCTATCTTGAAAAAAATCCTATCACAAAAAAGGGCTGGTGAAGTTAGTCGGGGTGTAGACCCTGAGTTCAAGCCCAAGTACTGCAAACAATTAAAAAAAAAATTGGACTTTCTCAGTACCAGAAGCAGGGCCAGTCACCCTTTTACATAGCTCTATGCCTAACTCCCTTCCCCCTAGTTCATGGATCTCCCTGTGTGTGGTCTTCAGGCATGTCACCTGGGATCAAGGGTTCAGGAATAATTAACTTTTTTTAACTTTATTATTTTTATTATTATTGTTATTGGTGCAGCGCTAGGGGTTGAACCCAGGGCCTTGTGCATGACAGGCAAGTGTTCTACCACCGAACTACATCCCCAGTCTGCAGGATAAAATCTTTATCTCCGTCTTGGGTCTACTAATCATTGGAGATACTCTGAATCTTAAAGATCCTAAATTTAAAACAGTATGTTCTTTGTGCAGTGACTTACGGTTTGTAAAACCTTTTACATGTAGCATTTCACTTACCTTCTCAGTAACTTTATGAAGGAGGCAAGATTATTTTACATTTTATAGATGAAGGAATTTAAGTTCAGATGTTTAGAGATTTGCTTAAGATAACATCAGAGTAAACACAGCTCTGAGACTTGATCTTCTTTTTGTATTTCCTCCTTCTCTTTCCTTTTCCTCCTCTGTTTGTTTGTTTTTGAGGTGGGGAGGGTACGCTAGGCAAGTGATCTATCACTGGACTACACACTAGACCCTGATTCCAGGTTTTGTTTGTGACTCCGGGTTTAATGTGTCTTTTTCATAATATGTAAGATGTCCTCAGACAATAAAAAGATAAAGATGGTTCCACCTCTAGCATCAGAGAACAAGTGTCCAAATACCACAGTCCATACATGCCTTAGAAGCATGAGATTGTTTTATGGGCTTAAAAAAAGAAGAGATTACACTTTACTGTGGGTGAAGAAGTGTGGTGATTTTAAAATATGTCCGCAAATTCTTCAGTGCTTCTCCCTTCAGAAGATGTAGCCATACCCTGCACAGCTAATGTATGATAATAAAAATGCTCTGAGGCCCACCAGTGGCTCACGCCTATAATTCTAACTACCCAGGCAAACAGTTCTTGAGATCCCATCTCAAAAGTACGCAACAGCAAAAAAGGGCTGGTGGAATGGCTAAAATGCCTGCCTAGCAAGTGTGAGGCCCTGAGTTGAAACCCCAGTACCACCCCAAAAAAAATATATGTATGACCTAAGGGCTAGGGGCATAGCTCAGATGCACAAGGCCCTGAGTTCAAACACTGCAAAAAAAAGAAAAAAAATATATATATATAAGGAAAATTGTGTACTACAGACTGATTGTGGTTACATACTTCTGTTAACAATGTAGCAGCGTCCCATGGGTTTCAGGGAACTACTCCTGGAGGGGCGTAGTGGGAATGTGCTGGAGGGATTCCTCCTCCAGTACATTTCAGTCGCGGCACATTCTTTCTCCTAAATGAGCACAGTACTCCGTTTTCTTTTACGAGACTGTCATCTGCTACTGAGAGGTTCACATGTGGTCATGGCTGTATTGGAAGTAGTTAAAATAAGGGAAAGCTTAAACAGATCTTCACTAAGAAGTGCTTATTCGGGGAAAAAACTGATGGACAGTAAGTGTACTAAAACATTGTAATACAATGACTTGGCATCCTTGTACTACAGTTGTACATCCATTGTACCATGGTGACCTCTGACATCCCATAAGTGAGAAAAATCTCATTAGTAGGAAGCCCATTTTATGACAAAGTAATGCTAGTGTGTGTAGACATATGGGCTCTCCAATTTAGGAGGTATGATAACTTGAAGAAATTTGATTTTTGTCTTCTCCGTTTTCACTTTTCATTAGGTTTAAAGGAGAACCAGTGCCAGATTGTTCTGAAAAGGAGCCTTGTAATAATTTTCTGATGTTAGATTACTTGGAATGAAAACCTTCGCATTACTCAGTGGATGTACCCTCCCATCAATGTTTTGGGCCTTATGTGTTACTCAATTATAGTAACAGGAGCTTATCTTAGCTTGATCACATTATTAAAAAAGCCTCAGTGTTTTCTCACAGCTTTGTTGATGTATTATAAATGTAATGAGTAGGTGTATATAAAACAGAAACTGGAATCTATTCTTCCTGAATATCTGCCTTCCTAAAATATTTATTGAATCTAGTTCCTATTATGTATGCTATCTTAAGTATGTGGAAAATAGAGGGGGGAAAAGTATGTGGATCAAATGTTGATTCTAAGATTTTTGTAGGGCGATAAATGGCAAGTTCAGAAGAGGAAAAGACTTCATGTGGCCTTGGGAATCAGGGGTGCTTGGGTCTATGCTAAATTATCCTGCATCTCAGTTTTGGGTGTAAAAAAGTCTCTTCTGTGTGAGACACAGAAGTGAGGACAGTGGAGGCCATGGGGGGCTGGTGTATAGCTGAGAGTGTGTTATGGAATATGTGAAGGGTTTTTGGAATGGAGTGAAAGGTAAACTGGAATCATTAGTGTGAACAGTCTGAGTCTACACTTTATGCCCTGAGTAGTAGAGAAACAATATATGGATGTTTTTTGAGTAAGATGATAGTTATAGCTGTCCTTTAAGAAGATTAACCTAGAAACTGCTGTGGGATCAATTGAAGTAGGTAATGAGTGGGGGCCTGACCCGTTAAGAGACTGTTGTCATAGTCTCTGGCTGTCATCATAGGGGCTAGGTAAGAGAGTTTATGAAATGAGACCCTGAACTAAGGTAGTCTGTCATTAGTTCTGTAAGTTTGGAGAGTTTTGAGGCACATTTTGAATTAAGATAGTCATACATCACTTAGTGATGGGGACTTCATTGTTAGGTGATATTGTTTTTAGGTGATCTGGTCTTTGTGTGAATCATAAAAAAGTATGACACAAACCAAATGGTACAGATCAGTCATTCAACATAGCCTGTTGATGCAATCAGAAGGCAGGTAAACAAAAGATGTATTGATGCTTCTGCTAGTATAACCTGGTATACTGTTTTACTGAACACCTTATTTTTTTCATAAACAGAAGTTTACTAATGATGAAAATATATAAACCAGTTTACTTTATCATCATTATCAGGTATTACATACTGTTCTTAATTCTATGTGCTGTACTTTTATACTACTGAGTTGTTTACACCAGCATCACAAATAGGAGGAATGTGTTTTATTACAATGTTGTGATAGCCACAATGTCCCTATGGAGCTCATAACTACACTTTGTTACTAATTTAACAGAGGTGCTTTTGGAGATGCTCAGTGAAGCTTCTCTTGGTCAGACTCCTGAAATGGTCCTCCTTGAGTGCACTTGTGCCACAGCATCCTTTCAGCCTAATTTGATGAGGCATGACAGTGCTGTTAGGTTTTTCGTCCCAAATGTCATCAAATTAATGTTGTGAGAGACTAAAAAAGGAGAGGGGTCTTGGTGAAAATATTGTCAGTGACTTTAGAAGTGGGAAGAGAATGAGATAGGCCCTGGCAAGTGTAAAGGAAGAGGTGGCATGATAAAAATAGCATTTTCATGTTTTCAAGCAATGTCAGTGTACATGGAAAATGAAACTTGATACAAAATTCAAGACCAAAGTAATTTATGAAAAAAAAAGGAAGTTGAATGAAATTATGTCCTAATCTTCCCACTTCTCGGCCTTTTAGGTAAGCACACGTGAAAATTATGTACTAGTTTTGAAGGACAAAATGAATCACAAAAGGGGAATTAAGTTGGTTTGAAGTAAAACTTTAACACAAACTCATAAATTAAAAGAGATTAAATAGCATGAGGGTTCAACAGAATTTAAGTGCTGTAGATGTGTAAAGACATTTTCTCAGCTAGACGCCAGTGGCTTACACCGGTAATTCTAGCTACTTGGGAGGCTGAGATCGGGAGGATCAAAGTTCAAGGCCAGCCACAACAAATAGTTTATGCGTCCCCTATCTCAAAATAACTGGAGCAAAATGAATTGGAGGCATGGCTCAAGCGGTAGAGTGCCTGCTTTGTAGGCACAAAGCCCTGAGTTCAAACCCCAGTATCACACAAAAAAAAAAGATATTTTCTCATTTCTCAAAAAAAGTGCCAAAACATGTCACAAGAGAACCTTGTTTATATATGTGGTTTCTTTTTTTTTTTTTAATGGTGCTGGATTTGAACTTGGGGCCTCACCTTTAGCAAAGCAGGCACTCTGCCCCTTAAGCCACTTTACCAGCCCACAAAGGGTCCTTGTAATAGCAAGAATGAGGGTCATTTTTTCCTTTTACCGTTGTCAAAGAACACCATGCATGTGATATTCCAAAGAACTATGGAGTCTTTGGTTTGGAGGATGCATTTCTGTAAGTTAAGTTCTCTCAGGGTTTTTTTTTGTTTGTTTGTTTGTTTTTTTTGGTACTGGGGTTTGAAGTCAGGGCCTTCACCTTGAGCCACCCCACCAACCTTTTTTTGTGAAAGGTTTTTTGAGATAGGGTCTTGTGAACTATTTGCCCAGGCTGGCTTCAAACCTGATCTCTGCCTTCTGAGTAGCTAGGATTACAGGTGTGAGCCATCCATGCCGACCTAGCACTCAGAACATTTTTATAGGGTAAGAATTGTTAATATCAAGATTAGTGCTTACTAAGGGTTTTAGTCCTGCAGGAATGTGATGCCTATTAGGTAGGCTTTCTTACATTGTATAGCGTACATGTAAAGAGTGCCTTTATTTTGTGTCAAGGATAATCAGCTGAAGGACTTTGTACCTGAATCTCTTGCCATTGCAGAGGACCTGTTCCCAGAGTCTTAATACTCCCCTGAGATAAATGTAGATCCATGAAACCCTGGGTATTCTTTTTTGGGGGAGAGGGGGCTGGGACTGAGGTTTGAACTCAGGCCTTCATGCTTGCAAAGCAGGTGCTCTATCACTCGAGCTACACCTCTAGTCCATTTTGCTCTGATTTTTTTAAGATAGGATGTCTCAAAATATTTGCCCAGGATGGCCTTGAATGAAGGTGCTTCCAATCTCAGCCTCTGAACTATCTAGGATTATAGGTGTTAGCCACTGGTGCCAGGCTCCCTGGGTATTCTAACAGAGATGTTAAAACAGTATCATTTCTAACATCACTCTGACCTAAGGAAAAAACTTCCTTAGCTCCTGCCAAGTATGGCCAATTTGGTAAAAAGCTTTATTCTGAGAAGTTTTGTTAACTGAGGTCTTAACTATTAATATCCTTTTTTCTCTTTGAAGCAGTAAACTTTACCAGGACAGAGTCTGTTTTGTTCACTGTGTTTTCAGTCCCATGATATAGATACTCAAATATTATTCACATTATTTCACATATCTAGAACGTGGCTCCCATAAAATTTGAAGAGCCATGTGTGAACTTGGACTTTATTATAATGTGTTGACTAGTTTCCAAGAGTGAGCACCTCGAGAGAACAAGGTAGAAATGTGTAGCATTCTAGTTTGGGGAATCATGTATTACTTCTATCATACACTTTATTGGTCAGAGTAGTTACAGACTTCTTCCAAAGTTCAAGTAGAGGAAATTACCTCTCCACTGATAAAAAAGTGTAATGGTCACATTATAAGGAGAATGTGTTAATGGAAACTCTTGTATTGTCCATCTTTGAGAAAGATAATGTTATAGTTGTTTATAGTTTTCATCAAATTTGGAAGTTTTTGGTCCTTATTTTAAGTATATGTTATCTCCCTCCAGCCTTTTTTAACATTTTTTTGAGACTGATTATATGTATGCCTTATAATCCCACAGATGAAGACTTTTATTCTTTTTCAGTTTTGTTTCATTTTGGATAATTTGTATTGCTGTGTTTTCAGGTTTAATTATTTAGTCTCTAAATAGTCTGTCATTAAGCCCATCTAGTGAATGTTCATCTTTTCCTTCCTTATTATGATACTTTTTCCTTTAAATCTCTAAGTATATTTGAAATAACTATTTTAAGTTAGTTATTAACTTGTCTGCCAATTCTGTTGTCTGACCTTGCTGGGTGTTTCTCTTAACTGACTCTCCTTTGCTTCCATTATAGATGTTTTCCAGTTTCCTCATATGTCGAATTTATTGCATGGTAGACATCATGAATGCTACATTGTGTGTCTGGATTTTGTTGTCTTTAATATTGAAATTTGTTTTGGCAAGTGCTCTCAGTTTGGTATTTTCAAAACTTGCTTTTAAGCTTTGTTAAGGTAAGTTTGGGATAGGTTTTGCCCCAGGTCTAGTTTAGCTCTACCACTTGAATGCCTCTGGCGTTCAAGGTCATCACTCTCTGCTCTGAGTAGTGAGAACTCAGAAGTCCCAGCCTTGTGTGAGCTCTTGGAACTGTTTAGCTTGCAATTCCAGCTTGCAGTATCTTTTTTGCCTAGCCTTGTGGGGTTTCTCCTAACACAGGTGTAGCTCAGTATTCAGTAATGAACTGACGGGATCTCTATGCAGATTTCTGAAGGACTTTCTTTGAGCTCCAAATCCCAGTCTCAATTCACTCAGTTTACAAAGCCTGCAGTGCTCTGCTTGGGTATGCTTTCTGATCTGGAAAGTGCTTCAGCAGAAAGCTAGGGTGATCTCAGGGCTCACCTCACTTGTTTATCTTTTCTACATTATTTTAAAATTTGTTTTTTTTAATGTATCTTTGGTCTAGTTTTCAAGTTGTATATGGTGGTGAAAGAGTGAGCTCCATATTAGCACTATCAGTTGAAGTATGAATTTTACATCCAGGATTTTCTCTTTTTTTTTTTTTTTTGTGGTGCTGGGATTTGAGCTCATGGTCTTGCATGTGCTAGGCAGCCACTCTGCCACTTGAGCCTTACCTCCAGCCCTTTTTGCTCTAGTATTTTTCCAGTAGGTCTCCCGTTTTTGCCTGGGCTGGCCTGGATCCTTTTACTGACGGATGACAGGTGTGCACTGGTACACCCAACTTATTGGTTGTGATGGGGTCTCACAAACTTTTTGCTCATGCTGGCCTTGAACTGCATTCTTGATCTTGACCTCCTGAGTATCTGAGATTATAGGCATGTAATTACTGTGCCCAGCTGTTCTTCCTTTTTTAACCACTTAAAGTGCCATTTAGATCCGAATTAAATGAAGTCAGCTCTGAGCCAGAATTAATAACTTGGAGCCAGGTGAGGTGATACAAGCCTGTAATGCTCATAATAAGCAAGAGAAAATAATAAATCACACTAAAAAAGATGAGACTATATCTATAGTTAGCTGACAAAAACTTCCTAAATGCCTATCTTCCTGTTTGACACTCTAGTGTAAAAAGGCCTGAGATGTAAGTGTGGTAGCACTGGTGCTGTTTCATTGCTCCTCCTCTTAATAACAGCCTGCTGTATTATACCATGCATTCTATCTGATCACAATGCAATAAAACTAGAACTCAACAACAAAAGTAAAGACAAAAACATGCAAACAGCTGGAAATTGAATAACTCATTACTTAATGAACAATGGGTCACTGATGAAATAAAAGAGGAAATTAAAAGGCTCCTGGAAGTTAGTGAAAACGAAAACACAACCTACTGGAACCTATGGGACACAGCAAAGGCAGTCCTGAGAGGAAAGTTTATAGCCATGAGTGCATATATTAAAAAGACTGAAAGATCTCAAATCAATGACCTAATGATACATCTCAAACTCCTAGAAAAACAAGAACAAGCAAATCCCAAAACAAATAGGAGAGAAATAATAAAAATAAGAGCTGAAATCAATAAAATAGAAACCAAAAAAGCCATACAAAGAATTAATATCACAGAAAGTTAGTTCTTTGAAAAAATAAGCAAGATTGACAGATACCTGGCAAATCTGACTGAAATGAGGAGAGTAAAAACCCAAATCAGTAAAATCAGGAATGCAAAAGGGGCGATAACAACAAATACCATGGAAGTCCAGGAAATCATCAGAGACTACTTTGAGAACCTATATTCTAATAAATTTGAAAATCTTGAGGAAATGGACAGATTTCTAGATACTTATGATCATCCAAAACTGAACCAAGAGGACATTAATCACCTGAATGGATCTGTAACACAAAATGAAATTAAAGCAGCAATCAAGAGTCTCCCAAAAAAGAAAAGTCCAGGACCTGATGGATTCTCTGCTGAATTCTATCAGACCTTTAAAGAAGAACTGATACCAACCCTCCTTAAACTGTTCCACGAAACAGAAAGGGAAGGAAAACTGCCAAACACATTTTATGAAGCCAGTATTACACTTATCCCAAAACCAGGCAAAGACACCTCCAAAAAGGAGAACTATAGGCCAATCTCCTTAATGAACATTGACGCAAAAATCCTCAACAAAATAATGGCAAACCGAATTCAACAACACATCAAAAAGATTATTCACCACGACCAAGTAGGCTTCATCCCAGGAATGCAGGGATGGTTCAACATATGAAAATCAATAAACGTAATAAACCACATTAACAGAAGCAAAGACAAAAACCACTTGATCATCTCAATGATGCAGAAAAAGCCTTTGATAAGATCCAACACCATTTCATGATAAAAGCTCTAAGAAAACTAGGAATAGAAGGAAAGTACCTCAACATTATAAAAGCTATATATGACAAACCTACAGCCAGCATTATACTTAACGGAGAAAAACTGAAACCATTCCCTCTAAAATCAGGAACCAGACAAGGATGTCCACTATCTCCACTCCTATTCAACATAGTACTGGAATTCCTAGCCAGAGCAATTAGGCAAGAAGAAGGAATAAAAGGAATATAAATAGGTAAAGAAACTGTCAAAATATCCCTATTTGCAGATGACATGATCCTATACCTTAAAGACCCAAAAAACTCTACTCAGAAGCTTCTAGACATCATCAATAGCTACAGCAAGGTAGCAGGATATAAAATCATCATAGAAAAATCATTAGCATTTCTATACACTAACAATGAGCAAACTGAAAAAGAATGTATGAAAACAATTCCATTTACAATAGCCTCAAAAAAAAAATCAAATACCTAGGTGTAAACCTAACAAAAGATGTGAATGATCTCTACAAGGAAAACTACACACTTCTGAAGAAAGAGATTGAGGAAGACTATAGAAAGTGGAGAGATCTCCCATGCTCATGGATTGGTAGAATCAACATAGTAAAAATGTCGATACTCCCAAAAGTAATCTACATGTTTAATGCAATTCCCATCAAAATTCCAATGACATTCATCAAAGAGATTGAAAAATCTACTGTGAAATTTATATGGAAACACAAGAGGCCACGAATAGCCAAGGCAATACTCAGTCAAAAGAACAATGCAGGAGGTATCACGATACCTGACTTCAAACTATATTACAAAGCAATAACAATAAAAACAGCATGGTACTGGCACAAAAACAGACATGAAGACCAGTGGAACAGAATAGAGGATCCAGATATGAAGCCACACAACTATGAGCAACTTATCTTTGACAAAGGAGCTAAAAATATACGATGGAGAAATAGCAGCCTCTTCAACAAAAACTGCTGGGAAAACTGGTTAGCAGTCTGCAAAAAACTGAAACTAGATCATGTATATCACCCTATACCAAGATTAACTCAAAATGGATCAAGGATCTTAATATCAGACCCAAACTCTTAAGTTGATACAAGAAAGAGTAGGAAATACTCTGGAGTTAGTAGGTATAGGTAAGAACTTTCTCAATGAAACCCCAGCAGCACAGCAACTAAGAGATAGCATAGATAAATGGGACCTCATAAAACTAAAAAGCTTCTGTTCATCAAAAGAAATGGTCTCTAAACTGAAGAGAACACCCACAGAGTGGGAGAAAATATTTGCCAACTATACATCAGACAAAGGACTGATAACCAGAATATATAGGGAACTTAAAAAACTAAATTCTCCCAAAACTAATGAACCAATAAAGAAATGGGCACGTGAACTAAACAGAACTTTCTCAAAAGAAATTCAAATGGCCAGAAAACACATGAAAAAATGCTCACCATCTCTAGCAATAAAGGAAATGCAAATTAAAACCACGCTAAGATTCCACCTCACCCCTGTTAGAATAGCCATCATCAGCAACACCACCATCAACAGGTGTTGGCGAGGATGCGGGGGGAAAAAGGAACCCTCTTACGCTGTTGGTGGGACTGTAGACTAGTACAACCACTCTGGAAAAAAATTTGGAGGCTACTTAAAAAGCTGGACATCGATCTACCATTTGATCCAGCAATACCACTCTTGGGGATCTACCCAAAAGACTGTTACTCCAGAGGCACCTGCACATCCATGTTTATTGCGGCACTATTCACAATAGCCAAGTTATGGAAACAGCCAAGATGCCCCATCACTGACGAATGGATTAAGAAAATGTGGTATTTATACACAATGGAATTTTATGCAGCCACGAAGAAGAATAAAATCCTATCATTCGCAAGTAAATGGATGGAATTGGAGAACATCATTCTGAGTGAGGTTAGCCAGGCCCAGAAGACCAAAAATCTTACGTTCTCCTTCATATGCAGACATTAGATCAAGGGTAAACACAACAAGAGGACTGGACTCTGATCACACGATAAAACGAGAGCACACAGGAAGGTATGAGGATAGGTAAGACACCCAAAAAACTAGATAGCATTTGTTGCCCTCAATGTAGAGAAACTAAAGCAGATACTTTAAAGCGACAGAGGCCAATAGGAGAAGGGGACCAGGAACTAGAGAAAAGGTTAGTTCGAGAAGAATTAATTTAGAAGGTAATACACATGCACAGGAAATCAATGTGAGTCAACTCCCTGCACAGCTATCCTTATCTCAACTAGCAAAAACCCTTGGTCCTTCCTATTATTGCTTATACTCTCTCTTCAGCAAAATTAGAGATAAGGGCAAAACAGTTTCTGCCTGGTAGCGAGGGGGTTGGGGGGGAGAGGGAGGGGGGCAGGGGGAAGCGGGGAGAAATGACCCAAACATTGTATGTACATATGAATAAAAGAAAAAAAAAAAACAGCCCGCTGTTATGGAATGCTTTCTGTGTGCCAGGAATGGTGTCTTTCGTGTGAATTAATTCACTAAATTTTCATAACTGCCATATGGGATAGTGCTACTATTATCCCATCCCACACTTGAGAGTGAGATTAAGTAGCTTTCTTATACACAGCTAATAAGTAGCAGTGGCAGAATTGGGATCGATTTGAACCCAAGCTGTGTGGCACAGAAGCCATGCTCTTAACCACTGTGTAACTACTTGAAAACTATTGAAAATGGATCAACTGCTGATGTAGAATCATTAATTATCCTTAAATCTAAATAGGAGTGCTTGTCTTTTTTTTTTTGGTGGGACTGGCGTTTGAACTCATGGCTTTGCACTTGCAAATCAGGAGTGCATTGTCTTTGGATTCGTTTCAGCAAATGTTTGTTTAGTTTGCCTGATTTTTACTGGTAAGCAGAAAGGTTGGGCTAGGGTTGAATATGTGAATTCTAAGAAAAATAACATCAGGATGGCAGGAAGTGGCAAGAGATGATGTCCAGCACAAAAGACCTAGAGAATACTATGAGTGGAGCCCAAGGGTCCAGTATGGTTCCAAGAGTCACTTGTGTTAAGTTTACTTTCCTGTTTGGCAGAGAACCTAGTAATAGTTCTATTATTGTTTTTCTCCCCCTTCTCAGACACATTTAATCAAACCAGGCACCAAAATGCTAACACTTTTTCCTGGAGAGAGAAAGTCTAATTGTTGTCAAAGAAGGATTCCATCTGCAGGCATTCGACAGACCAGCATTGCTTCTTTCTTCACCTTACAGCCAGGTATGGTAACATCTGGGAATGCTTCATTGTCCAGGGAGCAAAAAAAAGAGTGTGTTCACTTCCTCCTCATTGGAACATTTATGAGAGGTAGTGAAACCAGTATATTATGTTAAACTTCCCTGATCTGTTGTGTTATAAAACACAGGAAATCATCACCTTTTGAAAAGCAATATATGCATGCTTTTACAAACATACTTTGCAGTTCTGTTTTGCTCAGCGTAATAGTCACTATTTGTATTCCCTGATAGAGCAGTGTGGGAAGCTGCTGCGAGCAGGCTGGAATTTATAGAGTGGAGTTCCTACCAGTTCAAGTACATTGATAGGAGTGCTCTGACTCTTGGTGTGATTCAGGATTGCTTTGTATCAACTTTTTTTTTTTGTAATACTACTGTTTGAACTCAGGACTATATGCTTACAAAGCAGGCACTCTACCACTTGAGCCACTCCACCAGCACTTTTTTGTGTTGGGTATTTTAAAGATAGGGTCTCATGAACTATTTGCGTGGACTGGCCTTGAACTGTGATCCTCCTAATCTGTGCCTCCTGAGTAGCTAGGATTATAGGCTTTTTTGTATAAACTTTTAATGTGCACTCTCCTGCCCCAAAACAAAATTTAAACACTCTTGGACTTTATATACTAGGGGGAGATTTTTTTCAAAAATACCTTTTCCAATTGCAAAGTCTGATATGTTATAGTCTACATTGGATTCTTAGGTAAAAATTGAGAATTCTCATACAGCAGTTTTTACAGAACTTTTTTTTTTATTGGAGAAGGAAAGGAAATCCGTTAGTCTGCTTTTTTGTAATTAGATCTTGGTGTAATTTGGGTAGTGTGAGAATCCCATGTCATTCATCCTTAATGCAGAACAGAATCTGTTCCACTTCTGATAACATAGGCTGGACATTAGGTAATTTTGTTTTAAGTTATTGTTCTTCCTACCGGTTGATTTAGCATCCTAATAATGTCTTCACTCACTTTCTCATGAAATGTTTGGGGATCGGTAGACCTATGTTCTTCAACTGTCACCAAAAAGTTGGATGTTTAATGTGATATTTGAGCTATTGTGTGCTGAGCATGTTTTTCTTTTTTTTTTTTTTTTTGGTGGTACTGGGGTTTGAACTCAGTGCTTTGGCACTTGCTAGGCAGATGTTCTACCACTTGAGCCACGCCTCCAGCCCCCAAGCATGTTCTTTAAGGGTAACATTCAGGAGCATGTATTTGGCCAGGATCACACTTATTAAGAACCATAGTAAATAAAAACAAAAGCAAAATTATTGTGTCCTATGTTAAACAAACCACATAAATTAAAACTGAGCTAGAAAAGTAGGCTGTAGTCTAATCATATGCCATGGTGTTTTTCTTTTTTTTCCCAGTACTGGGATTTGCACTTGTTAAACAGACACTCTACTATGATATGCCATTTTTGACTATTAGGTAGAGAGAGACCACAGGAAATATTTACATATTTGAGTGGGGAGAATATAAGATCTATGAGGGTTTTTTTTTTTTTTTTTGGGTGGGTGGGGTTGTACTAGGGTTTGAATTTAAGGCCTTGTGATTGCTAGGGAGGCGCTGTACCACTTGAACCATGCCCAGAGTCCTTTTTTGCTTTAGTTATTTTTCAAATAGGAGTTTTTTTGTGGGGGGGTTGTTTGGTGGGACTGGTGTTTGAATTCAGGGCTTTATGCTTACAAAGCAGTCACTCTAACCCTTGAGCCACACCTCTGGTCTGGATCTTGTTTATACCCAGGTTGCTCTGGACCATGACCCTCCTAGTTAGGCTTCCTAAATAGCTGGGATAACAGGTGACCATTACTGTGCCCAACCTTTATGGGTTGAGATGGTAGCTGGAGAACTTTTTGCCTGGGCTGGCTTCTAACTGTAATCCTCCTGGATCTCTGCCTCCCAAGTAGCTAGGAATCAGTTCTGAGCCACTGCACTGTGCTAAGATCTATGTTTTTGAAACATTATTACAAAGAGAATAGGGATATTGAAAACAGGAAGATCAGCTACAGAGTAATTTCAAAGTCTTAAAACTCCTGCACTAGCTAGTAATAGTAGCCATTACTGATTTCATAAAAAGGCAATTAAATCCTACTTGGCAGTTTTCCAACAGATGATATTTGTCCACTCCTGTTTTACTAGGAATGACAAATGGAGGTAACCAGAGAAGTGTTTCGTCTAATATAGAAAATCAGATGAACAAGAAGTCCAAGAAAGACGTAACTCAGCTAGACCATTTGATCCAGGATTTGGGGGATGAATGCATGGCACTCCCTTTGGCCACTTCAACCCCTGCAGGCATTCAGGTAGCTGGACTTTCTCTTCAGCCTCTTCAGACTTCTGGCCACCGCAGTATGGAAACCCCATTTTTAACAACAATGCTGTCTTTGCCCCAAGACACCCTGGTCTGTGCTGGAGAAAGTAAAGCCTTTACCCAGAACTTGGAAAGTGCTTGTTTATTGGACCCAAAGAAGGGCATGAGGGAGTCTCCCAGGAAAAGGAAATGGCTTCATGGATATAGGACAAATTATCAGGGTAAGGAAGGACACATTAAACCACCCTGGGGTAAATGCCATCAGCCCCTGGACAAAGGTGAATTGGAAAGGAAGATATCTGCCAAAGAAAACAGGCAGGCCCCCATTTGCCTTCAAACTTACAGGGAATCCTGGAGTGGAGAAAATACAGAATCAGTGAAACAAAGCCTCCGTCCTTTTTCTGTATTTTCCTGGGAGAGTGAAAAAAATGACAAGGACTCCTGGAGTCAACTTTTCACTGAAGATTCTCAAGGCCAGCGGGTCATTGCCCACAACACTAAAGCGCCTTTTCAAGATGTAACTAACACCACGAATCAGGATTTAGGGCACATTCTTGACAGCCCTCAGGCTCTGTGCCAGGATCTGCCCATTCAGTTACATCTACAGCCCAACTTGCTCTTTACCCAGGACTCTGAAGGTAATCAAGTTATGAGGCACCAGTTGTAAACATTTATATGAGGGTTTGGTTCTTAAAGTACCTTAAAATGGCAGAGATGTAGGAAAATATCTTGTAGGGTGAGGGTGAGGGTGTGGGGGGATAATGAGGGTTTAGGTGGGAAGTTGGTATGTGATAAAGCTGTTGTCATTATTGAGCACTTTCTTTGCGTAAATAAAAGCAGGAAATCAGTGCCATTGGTTCAGAAAGTGTAATTGGCATCATGCTTGTTCTCTGAATGAGTCTATGCTAAGTGCTGAGGATGCAGGGTGGAAACAGCAACCTCTACTAAAGAACCTGCTATTCAGTCTGCCCAGAGCCATCTCTTTGCCCTTTCAGATGCCTGGCCAGGTTTTTGCTTCTTACAAAGTTCTTTTCATCTCTAGTATAATCTCACCCACTCAGCCTGAGTTTAGGATCATTATTCCTGACCCACTTTGAGAAATAAGGCAAATCTCTCCAACCTAGGTGTGTGGCGGTGGGGGAAAGAGAGAAGGAAAATTGTGGTAGTTTTATTCTTTTGTACTTATTTTTGTGGTAACTATACTACATTCTAAAGTTATATATTGTTTAAATATCTTTCCCTAAAAAAAACCTGAGCTATGTAACAATCTAGATATGACTATTATTCCTCTTCCACAAGGTGGGAGGGAATCCCCTTTGTAAAACTATGAATCCAAGTTAACGTTCTGATGGTAGTTAAAATACTAATTCTATTTTTGAAAAAGCAACTTTTTAATAATATATTTGTTATTACTTTGTGCCCAACCTGATAGGCAGTCTAATTTGGCCTGTGGTCTACTGACCACATCATGTTGCAGGTGTGGTACTTGAGGTCTAAACAACCTCTGGGGCAAATGCAAGTTATCAGATAGAACTGCTTTTGGGAGTTTAGAGCACAATCTCTTTGGAAAGAAGGAATAAATCCCCTCAGGAAGATTTCTCTTGTTAAAGGACAGGACTTTTACAAGGAAAGAGGGGAAACCAGGAGCCTGTTTAAAGTTCATCTACCTTAAAATTAACTGGAATTCTGTACCCCAATGGACACTAAGTGATCCCAACTCTAGAATGGACAAAGAAAATACACTACTTCTCCAAATCCTTCATTTAATGTCAGATAGTGCTTCAATCCAAACACAGAGTATACATACCATAGGAAAGGGCCCAAGGGCATCTGAGTCATGCATGATGTAGTAGGTCCAAACCTTAGCCCAACCCAGAGGAACAGTCAGTCAAGGGCCTGGAAGAAGGATGGTATGCTCATTCCCCTCCACATTTACCTTTCCTGCTGGACTTAAGTCCATGGAAGTTTTCATTCAGTGGAACTTGAGGGCCCAGGGCCTTAGAGGGTAGATTTGGTTGTACAGTATTATAAAATATGTTTAAGAAAAAACAGCCCAGGCCTCCTAGCAGTAGCCCAAGTATTGGCTGGTCCACGGGCCTGACCTCTACATCTAGACCAGGAAGTGGTGATTGCTGGGCATTGGTGAAAGTTTGTGATGGAGCAGCATAAGATCTTCCCTGCCCTGTGAACATGTACATAAACACATAGCCCCTTCCCCTCAGCCCTGTTCTGCTGCAAAGAAGCTGAGAGTGAGTAAAAGGTACACACAAGGTGTCCAGTGAGACCAGTTATTGGGTCTAATGCAATGAAGTAAAGTCATTCATTTGGGACCTATTTTCACACTGGGGCAAGGAAAAGCAAGAAACCTGTACTTTACCCCTTAAATGGAGACACTCCACCCTCCACAATTACCTGTAACAAATGTCTCAGTCCACAGGCCTTAGCTTTTGCTAAGATTGAAGTATGAGAAACAGCAATCCAGTCTTTCAGTCCAAGCTCTAGTTATCAAGACTGTTGCAGAAGATTTCAAACTGAGAGGCAGAAACATCTGCAGTGAGGAAGGCAGCTATTGAAGGAATTCCAGGAGCATGAGACTGAGTTTTGCAGAGCAGTGTGCTGTCAATTTCCTTTTCTACTAATATCCTCTTCCTTCAGAGCAAACTTCCTCCTTAGGACCTCTGAGATAAGCACGGCAGGGTCTTCCTCCTTTATTAAACTCCGGGTCCTGGAGACACAATAATAGCTTATAGTTAGGGAGTACTTGCTCTGTCCTGGGCAGTGCTCTGTGTCTGAATCCTCACATCAGTCTTGTGAGGTAGCTGCTATTACAAGTTCCTCTTACCTATGGTAAATTGAAGCACAGACTGGCTTGCATTTTGCCCATAGTCATTAGTTTTCTAACGAGCAAGTGGTGAATCTAGACTTTAAAACCAAGCTAACTGGTTCCAGATCTCATCTCCTAAAGAATTTTACTATTTCTTTATGGGTAAAATACAGGACCATCAACTTGTTGAGGTTGGCCTCTGATGGCTAAGCTTCTGCACCCACCCTCAGACCCTATCTTTTTGTGGAAGCACTTCTCAAGAGTTTTCAGTGGAAGTGAGTGATGACTCAGCCATTCTGACCCTTACTAGTTCTAGGGAAAAGTTGTGCTGAAAATATCCTACTCCGCTCCCCACCTCTGAGAAGAGCTGATATATTTTTTTTTTTAAATAAGACATCCAAAATAATAGCAAAACATTCACATTATGAAGAACTTGGAGGGAATAAAATCAACTCCAGATTGGTGTAGGCTCAAACTACCTAATGTGCCACAGAAGATACCTAAAAAATAGTTGTCTGAAATTGTAGTGAACTTAACATGCATCCTTTTTTTTTTTAATTAGGATATATTCATTGTACAGGGAGGATTCACTGTGACAATTTCAAATATGCTTATATCATACATTGGTTAGATCCTCCAACCATCTCTCTCCCTTGACCCCCTCCCTGCCCCACTTAAAGCAACTGCAAGAGGTTTCATTGTTGTATTTCATATAAATATGAAGTCCAACAACAATACTGCCCTCTCCTTAATCACACATCTTTTTTTTTTAATTTTTATTTTATTCATATGTGCATACAATATTTGGGTCATTTCTCCCCCCCTTCCCCTCCTACCCACTCCCTCTCCCTCCCTATCCCCTTGCTACCCGGCAGAAACTACCCTGACCCTATCTCTAATTTTGTTGAAGAGAGAGCATAAGCAATAATAGGAAGGACCAAGGGTTTTTGCTAGTTGAGACAAGGAAAGCTATACAGGGAGTTGACACGCATTGATTTCCTGTGCATGTGTGTTACCTTCTAAGTCAATTCCTCTCGAACTAACCTTCTCTAGTTCCTGGTCCCCGCCTATTGGCCTCAGTTGCTTTAAAGTATCTGCTTTAGTTTCTCTGCGTTGAGGGCAACAAATGCTATCTAGTTTTTTAGGTGTCTTACTTATCCTCAAACCTCCCTTGTCACATTCACATCTTTACGAAAGTGTTTTTTACTGGCCTTTAGGCAATACAGAAAGGTCAATATTGATTATTAAGCCTAGAAAGTAAAAACAATTGCCTTTGTTCTGTCACATTTCTGAACCTTTGCTAACTGGGCTACTTTCCTATTCTTAGTCATTGACCTAGGTCCTTTTATTACAATGTAGAAAATATCCCAGAACGTAAGTGGGAGGAGGGGGCTTGGCAATAAGGGTCTTGAATCCAATTTGGTCCAAGAGGCAAGTAAAAGAAGTTTGACAGTCAAATCTATAAAACACTGTGACCAGAAGAAAATGGTACAAGGCAGACCAAAAGAAGATAAAGCATAGCCAGCACAGTGGCTCACCCCTGTAATCCCAGCTATCTGGAAGGAAGATATGGGGATGATTGTAATTTAAGGCTAGCCTGGGCCAAAAGTTTTCCAAACCCCATCTCAACCAATAAAAGTTGGGTGTGGTGGTATACACCTATCTTTCCAGCAATTCGGGAAGCGTAACTAGGAGGATCAGAGTTCACGTCTTCCCTGGGAATAAGTGTGAGACCATATTAAAAAAAAAAAAAAAAAAAAAAACCATCAAAAGCAAAATGGGCTGGACACAGCTCAAGTGCTAGAGTGCCTGCCTAGCAAGCTTGAGACCCTGAGTTCAAACCCTAGTACCACAAAAAAAAAAAAAGATGATGAAGTCTTAGCTGAATATGGGGATGTAAGAAATCAAAGAACTGTGGTCAATACCCAGATGAGGAAGGTCAGAAAAGTACCTTCCCTAAAGAACAATTACCAAGAAGCAATGAGGTAGTCACTTAGCCTTATCTAGCTCTTGTTGGGTTTTTTTGTTTTTTTTTTTTTTTTTGTGGGACTAGGGTTTGAACTTGCTTTGAATATGCAAAGCAGTTCTACTGCTTAAGCCAAACCTCCAACCATTTTGCTTTGGTTATTTTAGAGATTGGATGTCATGGACTATTTGTCTCTAACTGTGATCCTCCTGATCTCAGCCTTCCATGTAGCTAGGATTACATGAACCACCAGTGTCTGGCTTCCTTGTCTACTTTTTGCGGGGGGTGGGGGGAGAATGGGGCTCAGGAGACAAAAAAGGATCATTGTACAGGGTAAGTCATGATCCCTTCAACAGGAACTTCATCAACTCAGGAGAAAGACCTCACTTCCAAACCCTCAGACAGATTCTTTCCCTGCATTAACAAATATACAGCTGCACTGCCTGGGCAGTGCTGGCCATCAAGATCTGGATGTCAAACTAAAGTGCTCAGGAACCTACATTTGAACAAGTTCCTTTGGTAAGTCCCAGGCAGCTGCTCAGACCATACTTGGAAAAACACTATGCAAAGTGGTGACTCCCTCAGGCTGGAGCTCTAGGGCATCTCTGCTAGGTAAGTTTCTCAAGGGGGTCAAAGGGTGGTGTTGCTTCAGTTTCAGGCCTTATCAAATGCCCTTGGACTTGAGTAAAATCAGCTAGAGCTCCACTCCTTAGAAATTCTGTTTTGTCAAGTAAAATGTGTATTTTTAAAACAAATCTGAACAGTTCTATGGGCAGCCAGGTTTAAGAACTCTTTTTTGAATCCCAATAGTCTTGTTTTCAAATCCCTGAATTAGTAGGATGTTTTGCATTGCAGGACACTGTTTTAATGTAGAAGCCCCCAACTTTACAAAATTCTACCCAAAAAAATCTTATCAATTTGAAGTACTAAAATTATATATCAAACTCCCAACTTGGAAGAGTAAGGCATGGAGACACTGTCCCTAGCAGTATAAAAACTGAAGGGGTGGGCTGTGGGCATGGCTCAAGTGGTAGAGCACCTGCCTAGCAAGTGAAAGGTCCTGAGCACCAAACCCAGTAGTTAAACCCCAGTAGCATCAAAACAAAAAAGCTCAAGGTTGAAGCCACTAGAGATAGAAGGTGGATTAGATGAGCCTTCTTATAAAATCCCTACTGGCCTAACATTTGTTTGGGACCACTTAACCCAACAAATATAAAGTGTTGCTCTTTCCTCAAACTGGGCCCCAGGCACTAGGCAATCAGCTAGCTTTATGAATGAAGTCATGTGGGTACTAATGAGAACTTACTATGTAAATATGCTGCATTAGCTCATTGGTCAAGGGTAACTTTAAACCAGAGCTCCTAATTAAATACTTACAGATCTTGGCTCTGTTTTATCCGGTGAAAGTCCTTCAGAATACCCATCATGTCTGCAAAGCTGCTGGCCTTGGACAAAGAGATGCAGTCATCCTCTTCAGATGAGCTGCAGGTAGCTTTGTGTTCTGGTTTGCAACATTCGGGGCTGGCAGAACAAAGCAGGGGGACTGATGGAAGCTCAGGGACCTCTACCTCAGTCTCCTCGGTGATGTCACTAATGACAAAGGAAGTTGTAGAGTGGAATGAGGATCCAAAACAAGGTAAGGGAGAAGAGACATTTGAACTTCCTGGAGATAAGAAATCTGGCGTTAATGAAGCCGAAGCTGAAAGAGAAAACAATAGGCATGGATGGACATTGGGGCTACAATATAGCAATGATATCTTATCACCACAAGCACTGCCTACAGAATATATTCATTTTCTGAGCTGACACCAAGAGATTCTGAGCGATCCCAGGATGGTACCTGTAGCCAGTGAAGCCCCCGCCCCCAAATCCTTCCTACACAAGGGTTCAAGAAGATGGAGAAACACAGGGCTCTTCCAGTGACCCAAGAGGGCAAAAAAACCATCCCATAAAGGCCTTGGCTCCTAAAAGCTCCCATTCCATAGTGGATTATGGAGTGACAGTCTAGGCCTATCTTTATCCTTCTCTAACTGGAATAGTGCTTTTGACTCTGCTTCTTAGAATTTTGCTATCTGTGAGCTGTTGTTTTGGGCAACATTAGTATGGCGATGGGCCCAAATTTTTTTTGGCAGTACTGGGCTTTGAACTCAAGGTTTCACACTTGCTAAGCAGATGCTCTACTATTTGAGCCATACCTCCAGTCCTAATATGCCCAAATTTTAATGGAGACAATTTCTAAGTGTCTAAGATTTTTCATAGACTACTTCTACTTGTCTCTTGGATGACAAAAAGTAGGCAAGAAATAAATGGAAAATTTAAATGCAAACTGTCCATAAAGCTTCCATGAGAGAATTCAAAGAGAACACTGATTTTTATGTGCTTCACCAGGTGATAATATTTAGGAACTATGTCTTTAAGCCACTGAGCTTTTTTTTTTTTTTTTTTGGTGGAACTGGGGTTTGAACTCAGGGCTTTGCCCTTGCAAAGCAAGCATTCTATCACTTGAGCCACGCCTCCAGTCCATTTTGCTCTGGTTATTCTGTAGCTAGGTCTCACGAACTATTTGCCTGGGCTGGCCTCGAACCACAATCCTCCTGATCTTAGCCTCCCAGGTAGCTAAGATTACAGGCGTGAGCCATCAGTGCCTGGCACGCTGAGCATCTTGGGAGAGATCTACTTTCTCTGGTTTAGACAGGCTCCCATCCATTTCCAGTGGTTCTGCCTTAACTGCAGGAAGAAAGCTAGAGGGATAGGGAGGTGATCTCTGGTTTAAAAAAAGACAGGACAGGGAAAGGTGCTTAAAGGGAATACATCTTGTGGTGGTGGTAAAAAAATGCTTACTACATTGAAAAGCAAAGCTACTGTGAGTTCATAGAAAATGTGATTTTGAAGACACTGCAAGAAAGCATTGGTTTTATGGCTAAGGGAGGGAATCTGTCTGGGAGTTCACAGCTTAAGAGAAGACTTTGTTACTAACCAAACCATTTAGCCCAAAATAACTAGTGGAAATCATCCAAAAGACACTATAGGCTAGCCAAGTCTCAGACTAATCCCCTTAGTCCAAGGTCTTCTAAGTCCCCCTGAATCAGAGATCAGCATTTTCCTTACCCCTGTCCTACCCAAAAGCCAAGAGGAAAGGACAATCTACTCTACTATAGCCTGATTCAAGGGCTCCTACCGACATCAGCTGCCACTATCTTGGCAATTTGGCTGCGCAGGTGGCTCAGCTCATCTTGCAGTTCAGTGGTGCGACTTAGGGCTGGCAGGGCTGGCTTCTTCAGGGCCAAGAGCCTCTCCTCAGACCCACGCAGGTTGGGTACTGAAGCATTGCGCTGCATGACAATCAGAGGGCTGGGCTTCCAGGTGTGCCTCAGTGGGCGTGTATCACTTCTGGACCAAAGAAAGACAAAGCTGTCCGTGACAAATGGCTGGCCAATATAACCATCCTAAAATTCCTTCACCTCACAGGTTTCACTCCCGTCTTGAGCCCAGAGCTCTCATCCCTATTGCCCTCAGCCTCTCATGAGCACCCTCTTTGCTGCTTGCCACTTCTAGGAAGAAGCTGCCCAATTCCCTAGCAAACTGGCTACCAGCTTCAGCTACCTGACCCGGGCATATGTCTCCTCTTCATCTGCAGCAATCCAGGCGATGTCAGCCAGAGTAGGGACTGGAGGCACATCTCTCAAACACAGATCAGAGATATTGGGCAGGGTCTGTGGGGAAGCCAAATCCATCAACATTTACTGACAAGTAAGCAGACTGATACACAGTGAGACACCTAATCCAGCACTGGGTGTCAGGAAGGCTTCCTAGAGTGGGTAGAAACAAGTTCCTGGGTGGAAACAGCTTGAATAAGAGACCAGAAGCAAAAGTTTGTGGAGTTATAGATCAGGTCTTCAGTGGACTGGCCTGAGTTACTTTTTTGTTTTTTGAGATAGGGTGTTGCTATGTAGACCAGTTAAACTTTTGTTTTGACTTTGCTACCTCTACCTCCCAAATGCTGGGATTACAGGCATGCACCACCACCAGCATTTAAGTCGATTTTTAGTAGATATGGCTACTGTCTACAATCGTCTTGTCCTCTGGTTGTGAGAATAATTATGGCTGTTAAGATCACCAACAACTTGTTAAATCAATGGGAAATTTCTCTTGGCTAGCTCTTTTTATTTATGTTTATTTTTTTTGGCTAGCTTCTTTATATCGTTATAGCTAATTGGGTCTTTGTTATTTGATGCTGGGAATTGAACCTGATAGCTAATTAGGATTTATATTATTATAGCACTGTTGTTTTAAGCAAATCTGGTAATTTGAGTATTTAAATGTAAATAGAAGTGATCAATTATTCAAAAGTAACTGAAATTTCTTAAAATAGCTTCTCAACCTAAATGAACAGCAAGCAAGGAAAAATTAGGATTCAATTTTATGCTTATTCCGATTAAAACAAAGTAAAAAACTTGCATCTACAAAAATAGTTAACTACACTTAAGACATTAATAGTTATTATGTCATCACTGTGTGATTACATGTAATTTATTTTCCTTCACTCTTTATAATTTAATAATTTTATGTCATTAAATTTAAAAATATAGTAAGACTTCCTTAATTATTTAAGTTAATCTAATTTACATCAGAAATCTGAGGATATTAATTATAATACCTATAAATTCAATTGTTTCTGCTACAGATTGTTTGGTAGGTGGATAAGGAGTTTGATAGCTACTGCTTTTTTAGTACAGTACCTGGGACTCACAGGAGTGAAGTGATACTTCAAGGTCACAGAGTATTTCCACTCACCCAGGAGCTACTGTTTAGATGGACCATTAAAGAGAAGCTTTAATTTGTTTTCCTGGATTAGCTCTGAATACTCTTGGCAATTAAATGAATCAACACAGATAACTACTTAGCACAGTGCCTGACAAACAGTTATGTGCTTAGTAAATGTCAGCTAATATTATTAATACTATTCACACATACTCCTGCTCTGAGGGAGCCTGTGTCCTTGACTATCTCTGCCCTGCAGCATCTGGCCAACAGACTAGAGAGGGCACAGTCAAGTGTGGGGCAACCTCCATAGTCAGTTATACTCCCTAACTGTATTTCCCCTTGTTTCTGATGCTTCAGAGGCACCCAGGACCACACCCTATTGGACCCTTTAGGCAATTCTAGATAGTTGGCAATCTGAGTCATAAGACAGCCCTCACCCATACATACTTCCAACCCCATTCCTGACTCTAACCCTGACACCATTATTAACTCCAGATCCAGTTCTGCAGACTTTGCAGTTAGCATCTTATATAGAATCTTGGCTCCTTCATTTCTACCTAGACCTGGGACCTTTCATGCATATATTTCTGTATCCTCTGTGTGTATAAAAAGTACTGTGTCCCAGCTTCAAACTTACACCCCTATCTAGCCTGGAGATGATGCTTCACCATGAGTTCCTAGATGGAGGCAGCTGGGCCCAATAAATGCTACTTAGCTTTCTACTGTAGGAGGGAGTCTCAGAGACCTAGGCCATGAGGGTGGCTGCAAAAGGCTCCCTGGACACAGAAGGCTAAAGTAGCCCAGTAAAGGCATGGCCTATTTAGCCAGAAAGAGGAGCTGGGGATTTGAAGCTTCAGAGAAACACTAAAAATAGTAGCTAAGTGGCCAAGTCATAGGGCTGGTGAGAAAAGTGGAGTTCCACTCAAGAATTACAGCACTTGAAATAAATCTGTACTGAACTTAAGTCATCCTATTCAAATCCAGCCTCTTTACACCATCCCTGTAGAATGTTCCAGTCCACATTTCTAGGCATCATTCCAGATCTAATGACACATAATCTCATTGGGTCCAGAGACTTGATATAGACTCAAAGTACTCTTTGTCAGTACTATAGATAACTTTTTTTTACAATGATGGTAAGCTGTTTATCTGAACTGTCCAATATGGCAGCTTGTTAATCATCTCTGTGAACAAATACCTGACAAAAAACTTAAGGAAGAAAAGACATATTTTGCTCATGGTTTCAGAAGTTTCGGTCCATCACGGTGGGGAGGACATAGTTGGTGAGAAAAGTGGAGTTCCACTCAAGAATTACAGCACTTGGTGTCCCATTAAGAACCTGCCAGTTTGCACGCAAACATCTTTAAATACAGACGTAACCTATCTGGAGATCTGGTTCTTTGGAGGCCTTTGGCCTGCTCTGATAAGCTTGGTTGCTACACCCTGATGCAATCTGAGTCACTTACCAGATAAGATGCAAAACTGTTAATCTATGAGCAAATTGGAAATTTGACTGTTGTGATCATTGAAAGCACAGTGATGAGGATCTATCATAATAAGCACTTAGTAAATATTTCTTAAAATGAAAAAGTGACCAAGAAAGATTGCCGTGGCAAATGCCAAGATGTCTGGGGCACAGAGTTGCACTGTTCTGCCACAGTCTTTGAGTCTCTACTTTTCCTGCCCTTCCAGCACACTCACCTCAAAGGATGCCCGGGCACATGGCTTCAGGGGTAGATTGGTCCCAATTCTTCTTACTACACTTCGAGCAGCCCCATGGGGCTTGTTTTGCCAGATTGGGATAGTCTAAAGCAGAGAGAGAGACAGCCACAACCTTAGTGACAGTCTAGCCATTGTCCCTGCCCTCGCCCTCTAGCAAGGAGACTGGATTCCCTACTCCCAGGGACAGAGCACCATCTGGGAGTAAGTCAAGTCTCAATTATGCCTGAGGGAAGGGTCTCTCGTTGCCAGTCTTCATCTTGGCTAGCAAGCAAGAGGCACCTGCTGCTGCTAAGGCAGTCAATGCTGGGAGGGCCCAGTCAAGGGGCTAAGAATTAACTGGGTATAAGGACAATGCAGGCTTCCCTCCCCTCCCTCTGCAAAGAAAGGTAGAAGCACATTGACTCCTGAGGTGTTCACAAGATTACAGTAAGCTCTTCTCTGAGGAGGGAGGAAAGTCTTGCTCCAATTCCAGGTCTCCAGGGGAAAGAATTAACTGGAATCTTAGGGCCTCATACAGTACTTCAGCAGGTCTAGCACTCAGTCCCTTCTCCCCCCATCCTGGGAATACCACTTACCACACTGGCTTCCATCCCTGACATTTCGACCAACTCCAGCACTTGAAGGACAGGACAGCTTGGGGAGGTGAAAGGTGTGAATCCTTCATATCAGGCCATCTTGACAAACACCAGACTTCCCTTCCTGTGAAACAATCCCCACGGTGGAGACTCAATGGCTACCACATGAACACAAAACAGGCCCTGTAGAGTCATGACTAAAACCAAGATCTCTGATGTTTTGCAGGGAGAGAAAATCTGCCTGAGAGGTTGCCTGCACTTAACACTGGCTTTTCTAAATCTAGACCCTAAAGGTTGTGTTCCAGAGAGCTTGGCCTTACTGGGCCCTAAGGTTTTGGGCAAAGCTTCAAAAGATCCATATAGAACCTTTGGTAGCTATAAAGCTCATGGGCAAGCCAAACTGAAGGTGCTATCCAAACTCAACACTGATTCTATTTTTTGAAATACAATACAGAACAATTTTTGTTCTCTCTATGGCCATGCTGGGGTTTGAACTCAGGCCTTCACACTCACTAGGCAGGCATTCTAACACAACTCCAACCTTGCATTCATTCTTGAAGATGAGATCTAAAAAGCACTGTAAGTGCCAACCAGCCTGCATTGCTTGGTCCTTGCAAGGGAGTAAGAAAGAACCCACAAGTCAGCTTACGCTAATTTCAAGCTATTGGAGTACAGGGAAAAGTGGGGGGGGGGGGTGAGATAGTGTTGGAGATTGAACCCAGGGTCCCCTAAGACTCCTAGCATTGAGCCACACCTCCAACCCCAAGAGCCAAATTTTTTTATACTGGCTTAGCCACCTACTGGCTCAACCTTTGTCAGTGTTATTTCTCAAACTGTAAAAAGGAGCCAGGAAAAGCTGCCACTCTAGGATACCAAAGGCCTCGTGAAATAGGGAATTTTAAGGTGATTAACGAACTTAAGGAGTCATATGAAAATATGACAAAAATAGGTGGCATCACTCCTGACTGCATTCTTCACAGCTGTGCTAGCATGGTGAAGCAGATAGTCAGCTCATGGACTCCCTTGTCCATCAAATGCCAACAGTAACCACTAATGCCAGGCCCATAGGGTCTATGAAGGGATAACAGTCATGCTCTCAGGAACTCACAGTCCATCAGAGACAGGACCTGAACACATCATTCTAAGGAAGGCTCAATACCATTTACTTGAGAGGCACAAGAGGCAGGTGGGCTCAGTGCCCTAGCCTCAAGGCCCCATGGTGTGTACAGAGTAGGTGGGAGGGGGAGAAACAGCAGCACTAGCACAAAAAGGTGAGGGATATGTAAAGAGGGGCAGAGTATCACAAGGCTGCAAAGATCCTGAGGGCTGGGAACAACTGAGTGAGAAGTCTTGCTCTGAAGAGATGGACTGAAGTGACAATGGCTCTTTCTGGAGAGTTTCTTGGACGTTTTTCTTCTACCTTGGGAGAGGAGGCATCATTTTATGATACACATGGGGAAAGGAAGCTGGAGAGGAAGTACATGCAGCAAAAAGCGCCTAAAGTCTGTCCATGTTTTGCTGCGTCCAGCTGGGGCTCCATCTTCCCACTTCCCTTTAAGCCTTTTATCAAAGTCCCTGGGTGTGCCAGGCTCTGAGTTGAATGTCAGTGCCTGCTGCAAGTTCACTTAACAGTGCTGCTGCATTTCCCACTTTAGTCATTGCAGCCACTCCTCCTCACCGCCAAAGGCTCAGTTGGACCAACCCTCAGCCGCAGCCAGAGGAATTTTAGCAAAACACTAATCCCGTGCTCGAGAGTTTAAACCCGTTTGCCAGAGCCAACGAGATAAAACCCAGACAGTTCAGCGCACCGCCCGTGGACCTCCACACGGCCCACCCCATCTCTGCCCTGGCCAGACCGCGCCCACAGCTGGCCAGAAGCCTGGACAGCTAGCCAGAACACACTTCTCCCTCGTCCTCTGCCCTACCCCATCATAGACCCAGCAGGCCGCTCAAAGCCTGCTGCGCTTGGCCAGGAGCTCCTGCCGTCGTGGGACGCGGGAATGGGAGCGGGAGAACAACTTTGCTCCGAAACCCCGCCCGCCGCGGGTTCGAAGCGCCCCTTCCGCGCGGCTGACCCGACGTGCTGATGCGCGCTCTCCCGGCTCGGGGGACAGCTGCTCCGGAGCAGGGCCTCGCCTGCTCCGACCTGTGCTAGCGCAAAACTTTGCCGAGCGCGCCGCGACGACGACAGTCCCCCCATCCCACGAGGGCCCCGTGCGGCGCCGAGGGCTGCGGGACCCGGCCCTGGCCGCGCCCCCTCCCCCGGAGCGCCGACCCGAGCAGGACCAAGGTCGACCAAGTCCTCGCCGCCTGCCCAGCGGCCCTTGAACCCACAGGCCGGCGCCGGTCTCCAAAGGAGCGAGGCGGCCTCGCGGAACGCGTTCGGAACGGTTTGGTCTGGCCTGGCCTCGCTTTGCTGGGTGACTCGACCGAGCAACTACCCCTTGAGAACTCAGTTTACCCCCTGCCAAGTAAGACATACAGCGGCTCCCGCGAGAACTCGCGCCGGAACGGGAGCTGCGGGCTCCGCATAGTGTCCCGCACCGACGCCCGGTCTACGGTTGTGCGGGAAGGCCGCGCTCCTACTTGCCGGGCTGTCTTCAATCATTTCTCACCTCAGACTCCGGCTCCCAGACTCACTCACCTCACGGCCCCTCCTACCACAGCCGGCCGCCCAGCCTCAAACGCCCTCACTTCCGCTGACCCGCCCTCCCCGGAAGCGATCCTTTGCGGCTGCGCGCCAACGCGGCCTCCTAGGGGGCGGGGCGCCGGCGGAGGACACGCCCCCGAGCGGGTCGGGCCCGCCTCTGCTTTCTGCTTACTTGGTCTCCAAGTTCAGTCCCATCCAACTTCCGTGTTGCTGCTCGGTTCCTAAAATGTGCAGTGTCTGCTGTCCCCACTCCTACTGCAAACTTCAGTCCTCACGTGGCGTTCCAGCTTCCACATCTGGCGCTTACCACGTCTGCCTCGTCCTGGTTCCCTGAGTTCATGTTTTCAGCCAAGGCCTTTTACAGTGTCCAGCAAGAATGTGCAGAAGGGAACCGGGGGTGTGGCTCCCTAAGTGTAGAGCACTTACCTAACAAGCAAGAGCCCCTATAAAATTAAAAAAAAATAGGAATGGGCAGAAGGGCCCCTTTCTCCTTTGATTGTTGCCCTCTAGTGCTTTGTAGCTTTCTTCTATTCCTCTGTTTTCTCTCTCCCTCTCTCCCTCTTTCTCTCTCTCTCTCTCTCTCTCTCTCTCTCTCTCTCTCTCTCTCTCTCACACACACACACACACACACACACACACACACACTGTGTAGTATATTCAGTTTATGGTTACATGGTTAAATTGCTGGTTCTGGGAGAGAGAGACCCACGTTCCTTACAAGCACACAAGCCCACTCCCTCTCTGTGCTGAAACCTTCACGTCTCCATGGCATCCAGCTACTCCTCTGCCCTCAGTACATGGCTTTGCCTGGCTCTCTGGCTGCAGTTCCTCCGTCCCAGAGCTGCAATCCCTAATCTGCCAGTGACAGCTGGCTTCGTGGGTGAACAGCCCGTGTAGTCACAATGGGCCCCACGCCCAGAACAAAAACCCATACTGCCTTACTGCTCTGCTGCTGCCCTGCTGAAATTATAGGCATGTGTTGCTTGATAACAGGGATACACTCTGAGAAATGCATGCTTAAATGATTTCTTCGTGGGAACGTCGTGGAGTGTGCGTACACAGACCTAGATGGAATAGCCTACTGCACACCTAGGTGATGTGGTAATAGCCTATTGCCCCAAGCTACAAACCTTACAGCATGTTACTGCACTGAATACTATAGGCAAGTGTAACACAACGGTATGTGTACATTCAAACATAGTCAGGGTACAGTAAAAGTGCTAGGTGATAAGTTTTCAACATACCGTCACACACACAGCTCATTGTTGACAAACCATCATTAGGAAGCACATAATTGTATATATTTTTTGACAGTACTGGAGTTTGAACTCAGGGCCTCTAGGAAATTACTGTTCCTCTTGAGCCACACCCTCAGACCTTTTTGCTTTAGTTTTGTTTTTTAGATAGGGTCTCATGCTTTTGCCTGGGCAGCCTCTGACTGTTATCCTCCTACCTCTGCCTCATGCATAACTGGGATTATAGGCATGTACCACCACTCCTGGCCCTTGACTATGTAATTTCTTTAACATGAGACATTTCATTGGACTTTCATTTTGCACAGAGCCCAAGTTATGAAAGGTTGATTTCAGGATGGCAAAATGTGCTTTAATCATTACTTGCAGGGAGAATGGAGCCTCCTAACCAGGGAATTTACTTCTCCAAGTTCATGATCAATTGATAGGTGATATAAAAGGCTGTTTGACCCTGCAGTGTGATTTATGCCCTAGAGCCCTTCCCTGTGGGTCAAGCCAAAGCTAGGCTTTGAGACTCTATCTGCTCAGCATTTTACCTTTTCCTCATCTGCCTCAATTCCTCTTTTACAGGTCTTTCCTTTATAACGTATACTTCTCTCCAAAATCACTGAATGCTTATCCCAGGCTCTGCTTCTAATTGAATGGGTCTAACTTCAGGATTGCTGTCAACACAGAGCATCGAATTCTCAAAATAGTATGTTCTATCTACCATTTGTTCTGTCACAAACTTATTTTAGGCAAGTCACTCAGGCCCTCTGGTGACAGACAGGATAATCTTCAAAGGCATTCCAGCTCAGGTATGTCCCCTGCCAAATGCCCTTGCCCATCTGTCAACCTTATCCGAACAGGGGAAGGAGTCAAGACCATGGAAGGACAGAACTGAACATCTTGCTCAAAGGAAAAGAACTGAGAGCCACCCTAGTCTCTCCAATTTTATTATGGAACATGTCTGAGGAAAGTGACAGAAGGCAGCTAGGGACCTCCCAGCTGGGAAGGGCAAAGGCATCACACGAAGACAGAAAGCACAAGCACTCAGTGCTTCACATAGGACTAGGACTGCTCCATGTGGTGTGGAGTCCACTCCCCTGGAGCAGCAGGACGGGGAAAGCCTGTTGGGGTGCAAAGGCCAGGCCTCTTGAGGCCCCGGGGTGCAGGGGACCAGCTGCTGCCACTCAATCCTGACAAGATGGTAATGCACTGAGAGAGGCTTAGACACCCTTCCTCACTGTAGGGGAGGAAACTGCCTCCCTGGACAGAGAACCTGGCAGAGCACATTGGCTTGTGCCCTGTTTGGTCCAGGGATCAGACACCAATGACTCGAAAAGCTTTCCTTTCCACATCGGGGAAGATAGGCAGGGGGGAGTACCAAACCAAATATCCCTGAATCTAGACAGCTTTTGGCCTCACAGGTGGGTTTGAATCTCAATTCTAGCATTCTGAGTGACCCCAGGCAAGTCACATTGCTTCCCTGAGAAAAGTTTCTTCAATGCAAAACGGGAACAATTATCTAACCTGGGTTTGTCGTGAGGGCTAGTTAAGTAAAAAAATACTGGTCATGATGGCAAAGAGCCCCAAGGACAGAGGCTCTTGGGAACCAGCTGCTTTTGTTAAACTTGGTACAAAATGGAGACTGAAGCTGGCTGTGAGGCGAGCTCAACATGGGATGGGGATTCCATGGCTGGCAGGGGACCTCAGCACAGATGAGGTTGGAGTGGGTCTGAAGAAGAATTTGCCTTCCTTCCTTCCTTCCTCCTCTGCCAGGTCTGATTGAGCCCCTGCTGGAACGAGGGAGGGGACAAAGAGAGAGAGAGGAGCTAACTTCAAGTCTTAATGAAAGGAAGTCAAGGGTGCCTTCTGGGCTGTTGGTTGCGGGGTAGTACTGGGGTGTACTGATCCGTGGAGGACTGCGTTTAAAAAGCTCAAAGAGAAGGAAGAGAGAGGCATTTCTTCCCTTGTGCAACTGCGAAGACATCAAGCTGGACCCATCTAGGATTTCAGATCTAGCTGTCATGGGGCTGCTGCTGGGAGAAGCCATTGCTCCTTCTTTCTCTTCAGCACTTGGGTTATAAAAAAATATCCACAAACTGTGAGAAAGTTCGCATAAAAACACTTTTCTGCATGTATAAAAAAAGAGACTGGTCAGCAGCTCAGAATATGGGCCAAGGCCCCAAGAGTGGCTAACTGGTCTGGGTGCCTCTGGTGGCCAGGACAGTGCTGACTCTGGGGGAGGATGGTCTATGGCTGGGCTGTGTTTCTATGGAGTCTGGTCTGAGGGACAGGAGGTGTCACAGGGGCGCTGGCTCCAGCCTGTACTAGAGTAGGCAGCCAGAATGCATTGGCCCTGTGGGAACCTCTTGGGGGCTCCCCTCCTAAAGGCGGAAGCTTATTTCACAGTGATCTTCCCCAAGTCCCCAAAAAGGCTCTTGGTCTAGTCGTCAGGTCTGCCAAGTGGTCTAGGGAGAAGGGTTGCTGTGTGGCTTTCACTGCTATGGGAGGCACTGCACATAGGCTCCAGAAGGCTGTCTCTAGCTGAGAGTGACCCCAGCTGGGGGCATCACGCACAGGAGGCAGCTGAAGGGATGGCCATAAGGAAGGCAAGGCAGACAGTTTGCAGCCTGGCCCCCTGCACTGGCGCTCCCAATGTTTCCTTTGCGAGTGAAAGGCAGCAAGGAAAGGAGGGGGTGGTCTTATCTTTCTAACCCATTACTTCCTGTTCTCCACTTAGGAGGGTCTGGACCACGTGATAGGTAAGGGCCAGAGATGTCACCCCAGGCCCTGTTTTGGGAGTTCCCAAGCAGCTTCCAGAACCAGGTGGATAGAGCATAGCTGATGGAAGTGTTTGAGCTCAGGGTTCATCTCCTCCCTACTGCTGAGGCAAAGCCTTAGTGGCCAACCTCAGTTGACACCAAATCCCAGGCAGCCTAGGAGGGGTAGGGAGGGTGCATCTGGAGTCTGAAATGAACTAAGGACCTCTCTGGCTCTGGGACCTGAGAGGTCCGTCCCCAGGCCCCTACACAGCCCAACTTTGCAAGGGCTCAGGTGCACTAAGGCTGGAGGAGGGGTAGGCCACGCCGGAGGCCCTCCTTTAGGAACTGCATGTAGGTGGCAGTGGACGGGTCTTCAAAGGTGGATGAGAAGCTGAAGACATTGTTGTCGATGTCCTCAGGCTTCAGGGAGGTGATATCCAGGAAGTAGTTGGCATTGATGTGGTGGACCTGGGAGAAGGGTTGGGTGAGGAGAGCAGGAAGCCCTGGGGGAAGCCACTCTGGGCCAAGCCTGCTTGCTCTGGGGTGAGAACAGATGGGCTATGGGTGCAGAGGGCCCTCTCCAGAACCTGAGCCAAGCCAAACTGGGCTGCTCTCTCCCATCCCTTCCCTCACAGGACCTCTGACTACCAAGCACCTCCCCACCTCATCCACTAGGTGAAAACCTAGCACCTTTCACATCACTTTTTCCTCTACACCATCCCCCAAATGGTCTCTCTCTCCTCTGATTGCTGAGCTCCACGATGGCTTCTACCACAATGCCCAGCGCTCATGTGCCTGCTTCCCCATCGTCTCACACTCCAACCAGTGGCTTAAGGGTGGAGCTGCATCTCTCTTTTTTTTTTGCATACTGGGGTTTGAACTTAGGACTTCGGGCTTGCTAGGTAGGTGCTCTACAGCTTGAGGCATGCCTCCAGCCTCCCCTCTCAGGTGTTTTTTTGTTTGTTTGTTTTTGAAACAAGTTCTCACTATGTATCCCAGGCCCGGAACTGGAACTTGTGATGCTCTTGCCTCAGCCTCCCAAGTGCTGGGATTACAGATGTACACTATTGCACTTGGCTCTTGGAGCCCTGTCTTTATCATTCTGAGAAAAGCCTGGGACAAGCCTGGGAAAATAGTTCATGGGACCCTATCTCGAAAAACCCATCATACAGAAAAAAGGGCTGGTGTTATGGCTCAAGGTGTAGTACCTGAGTTCAAGCCCTGGTACTGCAAAAAAAAAAAAAGCCTGGCAGAGTGGATGTCCCATAAGTGAGCAAACAAGTGAGGGGATAAATAAGTGAACCAAGAATCAAGTCCCCATGAGCGTCCTGTCTGCTCATCTCTGTGACCCCAGAGCCTTGGCCCGAGTGCTCTACCGGGTGAAAGCGGTTGATGCATTTTGGTGCCTAGCTCTCCTTCCAGGCCTTTCCACTCTGATCTCCTGACACTTCCATGACACCTCCAGTGAGTGCTCACTCTCGTCCCCTTGAGCCTGGGCCAGCAGAAGCCTCATGCCTGCCCTTTTCCTCCACCAGCCCTCACTGGACACCCCTTCTATCACAACCCAGCCCAGTTCCTGGCTGTTCCCATCCTAAGATCCTAGGGCCACTGACCCCCTCCTACAGCCCCAAGTCCCACACTAGCTGTCTCTTAGTGTGGCTTCAGTCAGAGCTGTAGATACTGAGGCTAACAGGCAGGTCTAGCTTCGAAACCAGCTGCTCTTCTTAACTGTCTGTAACTTTTGCCAAGTTCCTGAATCTTTTCGAGCTTCACTTTCTTCATCTGCGAAATGGGCATCCAGTGATCCTGTCTCCCAAAGCTGCTGCAAGGACCCAATGAGAGGACCTGGGCTGCCAACCCTGGGCTGGCTGCCAACCCTGGGCTGGCTGCCATGTTCTGAGGGGAGCCTTCCCTCCAGGCCATGCTTCTGTCCTCGTGGGGCTATGCTGACCCTGCTGCAGGGCATTGCTCACTACAGCAGACTCCTTCTCATCACTCCTGTTGTCCGGGGGCTGACTGAGGCTCAGATCAGCTAAGAGCCTTGCTCAAGGCTTCACTGCCAGAGGTGGTAGTGCCAAGCCCGAGGAGCCTGCACATCCGGTCCCCTGCTCACCACTCCCCGGGGCTGTGGTGCTCACCACGGTGCCGTTGGGCAGGCAGATGATCATCTCCACAGGGAAGCTGTACTTCTCCAGGTGCAGGCTGGCCAGCTGCCTGTGGGATGCGTTCTCCTGGTTGCTCTGTGGGGACAGTCAGCACCCTCCTGACACCTCAGCCCCAGTACTGTCCCAGGGGCTCCCGTGGGCTGTTCTAGACCGCTCACCTGCAGGTCCTCCAGCTCCTTCACCAGGGACCAGGTGCTGATGAAACTCTCATTGAGGAGGGCGAGGATGGGCGGACTTTCCAGGACGGTCTCCCGGAGAGTCCGCCCGGAACCTGTGAGGGAGAGGCCCAGGCCAGAACAGTGAGGTACCTCCATGTGTCTTACTGTTTTGGTTTTTTCCCTGGTACTGGAGTTTGAATTCAGGACCTTTCACTCGCTAGGCAGGTACTCTACCACTTAAGCCACATCCCCCAGCCTTTTTTGCTTTATTTTTCAGATAGTCTCACTTTTGCCATTTCTGCCTCCTGAGTAGCTGGGATTACAGACGTGTACCTGACTTGATTTTTTTTGGCAGTGTGGGGTTTGAACTCAGAGCCTTGTGCTTGCTAGGCAAGCACTCTGCCACTTAACCCATGGCTATAGCCCTGGACTTCTGAGATAGGATCTCACTAACTTTTTTGACCTTGAACCTTCTATTTCCACCTCCCAAATAGCTGGGACTACAGACCTGTGACACTGCACAAGCCCTCAATCAGCAATGATTTGTTTTAGGTAAACCTCACAGGCTAAACCCAGGTGAAATAACAGATTCACACAGAAGGTACAGAATAAGGGGTAGCTGGAATTATTGTCAGTAACAAATTGGAATCCTGGGCTGAGATTTGGGCTTGGGGTTTTACACACTTGTCGATAGTGACAGCTTCTTAAATCCATGGAACTCTCTGTGCCCCAGGGTCTTTGCACACACTGTTTCTCTAGCTAGAAACCGCTTCCTCTTGCTGTAACTCCTATTCTTCCTTCAATGTCTCACTTTATGTCACTCCCTGACCTACCAGTTACATACGGCTGTGCCACTCTGAACTCGAGTTGAGTAACACTCACCACACTTGCACCATACTCGTTCACTGCCACGCTATGTGATGCCAGTGCTTAGCCTACCGCTCGGCACAGCAGGTGCTCAGAATGTTTGTTGAGTGACTGAATGAGGGCAGGGGCACTGTTCTACTCAACTTTGTACCCACTGATGATACCCAAAGCACTTTGTATCCAGCAGGTCTTGGGTGGATTTTCTGAATAAGAAACACAACCCAGCCTCTGGCACTGTTTCCTCTCATGGCTATTGCTTTGTAGAGTGCAACTCTGGGGCACTTTCACTACTGAGAAAACAGAGGCTCAGGGAGAAGAAGGTATTTGGTCAAGGTCACCAAGCTGCAAATGGCTGCATCTGAACCCACACTACAGGGCCCTTTCTTCTGCACTGGCACCTTCCTGTGGGCTCAGCACAGAAGTCCCAAGCCTGAGCTGATGTCCCTATGCTGTACAGCCTGTGACCCTTGAGGTTCCAGTGAGAGAGTTCTGGTAGTCAGAGCCTCCTATGCCCCAAGGGCTGTAAAGTCACCCCATGTTCCCTTAGAACTAGCTGAGTCTCCCTTACCTCAGCAAGACTGGTCATCCAGGGCCCCCCACAGCAGGATGGAGTGCACCAGCTTGTTTTTGGCCTTGGCTCGGTCGAACGCCTCAGTGAATGGCAGGTAGGTGACCTGCGGTCAGACCAAGATGGAACAAAGCTACTGTGTACAGCCAGGGTCCCATTCAGGGGCTGTGTGCAGGGCGTATCTACACGTGTGGGTTTAGGTAAGTGTGTGCATGTGTCTGAGTGCTAGTGCACCTGTGTGTGAGGGGGTTTGGCTGAGCCAGGCTGAGTGTCCTCCAAGTGTCAATGGCAAAGGGGAGGCTGCTAAGGCTCAGGCTGACCCTGCACACACACATGTTCCAGGGCCCACACTTGCAGCACAAGCCTGATCCTCAGCCTGATCCTGGTCTTCACCCCTGCCCAGTCTCACCTTCTTAAAGGGGTACATGGCCACCTCCAAGCGCCGGGTGGCCTCCTCCCAGCTCAGCTCCTGCTGCCACTTGATCTCCTCAAACACAAACTGGAGGGGCTCCCCCGAGGGCAGGCGGCTATCGATCCAGTTGCCATCCTCATCCAGGATCACGGAGGGCACTGAAGGGCCCATGGCCTCCAGCTCCATCTGGGCCAGGGTCAGCCATAAGAGCCATCTCAGAGATGGTCCCTGAGAGCCTTTAAGAGACTCTGCTCATTATGGAGGCAGGGAGACTGAGGTCCAGGGAAGGGGCTTCAGCTGAGTTTACCTGGGGTATGTAGCCGATGTCTACCTCCATGCCACTGCTCTCACTGGCCCCGTACAGCCACTCCATGTCCACATTCAGTGACCTGGCGACGCAGGGCAGAGCACTGTGATTGTCAAAGCCCATTAGCTACATGCCAGACTCCATTTTGTTTAACACAAGCAATCGTCCAATTTCACAGATGAGGACACTGAGGCTCTGAAGTGGACCTAAGATGCTGGGATTATGACCACAGAGCATAGAGTATGGACCCTTTCCTTTCCACAGGCACTCTGACCGCAGTCACTGGGCCAGCCTGGACAGTTCCCAAGGGCGCTCATGGCCTGACTCACGTCCTACCCATGACTTTTTCCCTTCGAGGCAGAAAGATGGTCAGTGCCTTGCTGCATGACCCAGGCTGGGGCAGGAGTGAGATTGGAGTCTCTGGTGGGCAACAGGTTTAATCTGGTCAGTGTGATTTGCAGGCCCACCACATGGGGGAGCTCCAGGACTGACAACCAATCACCTTTGTGGCAAGTGAGGCACCAAAGGTGCCCTCACCTGTGGTGTCCCTGTGCCCTGGTTCTTAGGGGAGGGAGAGAAACCACTCCCACTGCGAGGGGCAACATGCTCTTCTAGGTTCTACTAACCATCCCTTCACTCATACCTCAGGGAGTGAAACAGGCCTGCAGTCAACCTCCCACTAAGCAGGTGAGGAAACTGAGGCCCAGAGAGGGCAAGGCCTGGCCCACAGCCACACAGCCCAGTGCTGCCAGGGTCAAGAATTAACTAGGGCCTCCTGGCTCCCAGCCTGGTCTTATCCCTGTATAAGTATCACTCAGGCATGCTAAGTGTCCACTGCTATCAGGGAGGAATCTTTGAAGCCAGGCCTTTCTGGATTCCCTGCTACACTGACCGGTGGCTGACCCTGAGTAGGTGAGGGGTGCAGGCAGGTGGCTGGCACAACACTGCCCCAAAAGATCCCCTAAGATTCTGTGGGGGGTGGAGGGTCTGTCTTAGGGTCCTGACATGTGCTGTTTCCTCTGTCTGGACCCTGTCTTCCCCTGGGGCTTTACTTAGTTGTCACTTCTTCTAGGAGGTCTTCCTGGACCTCCATTGGCAGGAGTCCTGCCACCTGATAGCCTTGCCTTGGCGGCATGAGCAGTCGTGGTGGTCTGGGGCCCATCACAGGATGACAGAGGCATTAGCTTCAGGGGGGACCTGGTGGCTGTTGTGTCGGGCCCCACAGAGGTGGCGGCCCAGTGACAGCCTAGGAGATGCTGGTTGGATGATGGTGTCACTCCTAAGCGCCGCCTCCTGTCAGCGCCAAGCCCCTCCCAGGAGCTGGCTGGGGCGGAGGGGGAGGGGCGGGGGGGTGGCAAGGAGGGATCAGAAACAGGTTGGGGGGTCTCTGGGTCCCTCCACTCTGAGCCCTTGCTGTTGGGACAGGACAAACTGCATCAAGGTGCCAAGGCTGCACCCAGCCAGCTCCTACCTGTGATTGGGCACGAAGAGCCGGAAGTCACGAATGTGGGTGGCATCTTTGGAGAGGATGATGTGACCGGTGAACTGGCCCGGGGAGAACCAGAAGGGGAAGTCGGGGGGTTCACTGAGCTGGAACTCGGCATGGATCCTGTAGGGAATAGGGTCTGCTAAACTACAAGCCTCATTTTCTTCCCCAAAGCCTGGGAGACTTTAGGGGAGAGGGCTAGACAGGTAGAAGAGAAATGGGTGTGGGGCAGAGAAGGCACGAGGCCTGCAAATGCTGCCATCCTTCCAGGCCTGGTTCATGTATTGCCTCTTGGGGAAGCCTTGCCCTGACCTTCCCCTGAGCTCCCCAGCTTCTTGAGGGCATGTATGACCTGTATCATGGCCACCTGTTCAGAAAGCCTGAGAACACAGAGCGGGAGAGGTGGAGTCAGGGGCCTTAGGCCAGGCCCTCCCCTGCCAGTGCTGCACTGCCCGGTGGGCTTCGCAGCCCACTCACCGGAACACCACGGTGTAGTAGGAGTCACTGGTGGCGGTGAGGCAGGCCACAGCACCCTGAGGGGCAAAGCGGGTCTTCACGAAGGGCCGTGGGTGGAACATGCTCAGGAGACGGTGGATGATGACCTAGGGATGGCAGTGGAGACCTCAGGTTAGCCTGGCCTGGATCTGCTGGCTAGGGTGGCTCTGGACCTAAAGGCTATGGGACAGGGGAGGCCAGAGGGAGGCAGGAGAGCAGGTGGGGCAGGCCTGGCACTAGGGTCTAGATGCAGATGGGGAGGGGCCCGGGCTAGGGCTGGGCAGGGCAGGGGAACCCAGGTCTTACCACAGCTGCCCTTACCTCCTTGCCTTTGGGTGGCGGTGGGTAGAAGCGGTTGTTGGACAAATAGCCAGTGAAGACACTCAGTTCACTGGGGATGATCCACCAGGGTTCACCCAGATCCTGGCCTTGAGGGGGAAGGAAGGGCCGGAAGTTGCGGGCGGCAAACACTGCACTTGGTGAGGCTGCAGTTGTCCAGTTACGGAGGCCAGACAGGGCAAGGCGGGAGACCTGGGGTAGAGGAAAGCCAAGACTCTGGGGTACTGAGGATTATGGTTGTGGGGGGCCCTTCCCTTATTTGGGAAGGAGGTCTCCCTTGAGCACTAGCCAGACCATAGTCCAAGGGAGCCCAGGAAAGTTCCTGCCCCAGTGATGGCCACAACCTTGGCCCTGCCTGCCAGAAAGGGGTTCACTTCATCCTTCCAGGCACCCAGCCACAGCAGTGCCCCAGTGGCCCACTCAGCAAAGCCCAGGCCAGAACATCTTACGCAGGACAATGGAGTGAGGGAGCTGAAGGGGCCACCCAGGACTGGTGCAGGGTGGTGAGCTCAGGGCCTCTCACACAAGCCACCACCAAGCTCTAGGCCACATTGCCCTCCACCAGCCTTGCTTTCCACCCCTGATCCCATAAGTCTCCTGACCAGATCAGAGTTTGAGTTTGATGCTGAGTCTGAGGAGGGAGGCAAATGGCCATCTTTTGTGTGAAATCCAGAGTCAAGAGCAAGAAGACACCACAGGGAAGGTGAAGAAGTCACTCCCAGAGAGGGCCCTGCCCAAAGTGTCACCTGCCTCATCTGCTGGGCCCCTGGCAAAGGCCTTTCCTAGCCTCCTTCCTCTAGCTGAGCTCATGGTCAAGAAAGAGCAGGGTCAGAAGTCACAGGGCTGTCTGCACACAGTGTGGAGCTCAAAAGGGTGCCCTTGAGCAAGAGGCTGTCTTGTAAAAACTTCACCCTCCACAATTCCTCCCTCTCCTTACGAGGTACAGGAAGGAGTGGTGCCCACTGAAATATTAGCCACCAGGACAGTAGCCTGGTTTCTTTAGGGAGCTGCCCAGTCTTTGATGAGCATCTCCAAGGTGGCAGAGCCAGGCTGGTGGAAGGCAGTAAGAAGGGGAGATGGGAGGAAAGAGATGCAGGGAGTCTCTGACCCCAAGGGATTTACCAGGTGGACTCTCAAAGCAGAGTTGGCTGTGAAGGGCCTGGCTGGTCCCACTCCCAGGCTGCCCAACCCTGCAGAAGCTGCCAAAGAAGGGGTGCTACCTTTGAGGGGCTCTGCCAGGGTGGCCCAGGGCTGCAAGGGCTGGATAGGGCCCAGGTCCTGTCCCACCCCATTCCTACTACTCTGGGGGGGGGGCGGTCATCTGTTGGACAGGCCCATCCCCACCCACTCCACCTCCTCCCCAGGTCTTTCCGTGGAACATTAAACTCAAGTTTCCAATCACTTACTGGGCACCTCCCCTACCTAACTCCCCGCTCCCCCCCCACATTCCCTGGGCATCTCAACTTCAACACATCCTGACTAGTGTCATTCCCTCCCCTGCTACAGTCCCCATCTGGACAAGCAGCCTGCCCACATGCACTGGTCACCAGCCAGCAGCCTAAGTCACTTGACCACCCACCATCAACAGCCACGCCTTTCTTCTTCTCCCAGCATCCTCCTGGCTGCCTGTGCCTTCCAGTTCCCTGCCTCCTCCTGTCCTGTGAACTGGTCTGTTTGCCTCCGTCTGTCCTTGTGTTACCTCCTGCCACCCCTACCCTAGCCACCCACCAAGTGGTTTGAAAGGAAGCAGGATGGCTGGAACATGGAAAGCCAAAGGAGTAAGCAGCAGAGAGGATGGACAGGTGGACAGGATGGCTTCTCTCTGTGATAGGCACAGACCACATAGACCATAAGGCCTGGTGTAGAGGAGGTGCAGGCAACTGGAGCATTTGTCTGCTTGTCTGCTCCCTCCCTCCTTCTCAGGGGTCCTCTCCCTACCTCCTTTACCTCCTGTCAGAGCTGAACTCAGGTCCAGGTCACCACAGTGTAACAGTATGTACCAGGTGATGCCAGCCATCCGCTAGAGGTCTGGGGAAACGGGCGGGCAGGAGGTAGCCATTTCAAGAGAGGCAGTGTGTCACCAGGGCTCTCCAGCACTTGCTCTTTTTGCCAAACAGACTCTCCTGCCAGTGGGCAGTCTCTGCCAGATGTCACTCCCTCCAGGAAGCCCTTCCAGACCCCCATTGTGGGGAGCAGATCATGCTTCTCTCCTGCTCCCCGACCAGACTGGGAACCTGGACAGCAGGAACCTCTCCTGCACTCTTGGGCACAGGGGGCATACAGAGGGCATCTGACAGTGGAGGGAATGAGGAAGGGGACACAGACAGGCTAAGGAGCAAGTGTATGTAGGCCATCTGCTGTCTGTGGTCCAGCCCATGGGGGCACCCCACCTCAGACTCACCCCTAGGAACCCATCTTTGCTCTTTGTCATGGTCTCTGGAAGCAGAGGCTGGAATCGGGCTTCTATGGTGAGTGTCTCCTCACTGGGGTCAGGGGGCAGCTCTTCGTCCTCATAGCTGGCCGCAGTAGTCGACCCTATGGGACACAGATGGCTAGAGAGGTCCTGCCCTTAGGCTACAGGCCTTGCTTCTCTCAGAACATCTGTGATTAAGGGAGCCAAGGCTTGGAGTGGGGATAGCAATTAACAATCACCCAAGAAACAACCAATGTGTATCGCATTTTACTTTCACAATAGCAGGGGGACACAGACAATATTACCAACTCTATTTTACAAATGAGAGTGTAGAGGCTCAGTGGTAAAGTCACTTCCCCAAGGTCACATTGCTAGGTAGCAGGGAAGTGAGGATTCAAATGCAGGCCTGTTTTGGTCTCTTTTGGTCTTGGGAACTGAGGAACTCAGTCAAGGGAATCAGAGTAAAGAACACAAGCAAGAAACAAAACCAGGCTATCTTTGGTGTCACCTAAAGAGCACTGGTATGTGGTGATGAGACCACTTCTCCCTGCTCTTCTGGGTGCCTTGATCCCTTGTACAAGGAGGGTAAGACTGAACTTGACTTCTCAGATTTTCTGCTCACTTGCCTACCTTGTGTCTGTCCAGCATGGAGGGAGCAATGATGTAGGTTTAAGGAAGAAGCCAATCTTTAAAGCAGTACTTACAGGCTGGTGTTGTGGCTCAAGTGGTAAGGTGCCTGCCTAGCAAACATGAGGCCCTGAGTTCAAACCTCAGTACTGGAAAAAAAAGTATCTGGGCAAGGTGACACATGCCTGTAATCCCAGATTTCAGGAGGAAGATCAAGAATTGGATTTCACAATGTAGCCTGGGCTATACTGTGAAATCCTGTCTCAAAGCAAACAAACAAAAAAACCCACTCAGGTTACCTGGGTGCAGTGTATACTATAGTCTCAGTTGTTAGGTCAAGACAGTAGGATGGGTTGGACCTGGGAGGTTGGGGCCAGCCTGGGCAACATAACAAAACCCTATCTCAAAAAAAAAAAAAAAAAAAATAGGGCTAGGTGGGGCTAGGGATGTAGCTCAGTGGAAAAGTATTTGCCTAGCTTGCAAGGGTTCAATTTCTAGAAAAGTAAAAAAAATTAAAAGACCACTGCTGCCAGCATTTTACACTTTCAACTTTGCTTCCCAAAAACAGTTGTTGTCCTGCTCCCAGCATTTTATAGCCCTTTAATTTTTAATTTGTTTTTTTTTTTTCAGAACTGGGGATGTAACTCAGGGCTTTGTGCTTGCTAGGAAGCACTTCATCACTTGAGTCACATCTTCAGTCCTTTTTCCTTCAGTTATTTTTCAGATAGGGTCTCACGCTTTTTGCCCAGGCCAGCTTCAGACCATGAATTTCCTACCTATGCCTCCCTTGTAGCTGGGATTACAGGCATGAGCCTGCCTCACCTAGCCCTTTGGTTTTGTCATAAAAAGTGTTATTTCCTGAATTATAAGTATCATTTGCTTGTTATAGATCGATCATTTGTTAAGAATTTAAGGGATAAAGTGAAAAATTAAACACTCTGTTTTTTTGCACTCATAGCCTGGAGGAACTGGAGGGATTCTTTTCCCCTGACAAGGATTTATGTTACAGCAAGCTGTGCTAACATGTCATTATGAGGGGACTCTGGCTCTCTGATTATAAAAAAGGACCAGAGGCAGCTGTGCAGATGCTCAGAGAAGCATATGCAGGCTGAGAGGTAAAGGCAGTGTCAGAGGTGGCAGCCTGTTCACTTCAATTGCTTTCATGATGAGCTGCCTGCCTCTGACACACTGATGCACAGTTACTGCACCAAACTGCATCTTCATCTGACCTTCCTCCTCTAGCAGCAACCACAGGTCACCGCCAGCAAGTGACCAACCTCCTAGTCATCCCTGAGACACAGAAAGTTCACAATGATATTATGGGACTTCTGTCCCAGAGAACAGCTGGCTTTTCTTTGTGCTGCCTCTCTTATCTATTGACTGACTTCCACCAAACAATCTGGGTACCAACTAGGTGCCCAAGATCATAAGTTTGAGAAACACTGTAAGAGGTTGGTGGGAGGTGAACACAGAGTTTGGGGATGGCTGGGGAGTGGTGAGAGAAGTGTTTTATAATTCACTGGAATGTTTCAGCCCCTCATCTTTTTTTTTTTTTTTTTGGCAGTACTAGGTTTGAACTTAGAGCTCTACCATTTGAGTCCCTCCCCCAGCCCTTTTTGCTTTTAGTTATTGTTCAGGTAGGCTCTTGTGTTTCTGTCCAGGCTGGCCTGGACTGTGATCCTACTATCTATGACCTACCCATGGATGACCAGAGGGTGCACCATGCCCATTAGCCCTTCATATCAATCAATCAATCAATCAATCAATCAGCCACTGATACAAGTAGGCAAAAATGGATAGCCAGAGGGGCTAGAATCCAGCCGCACCCATGCAGAGCTTCCAACCAGTACTAATAGTTTGGGCTCAGGTCCAGTGAACAGCTACCTGATGATCACTTTGCCACCACCTTCTTTAACCCTCACATCTGTGAGCTGGGCAGAACCCTGGGAGGACCCAGATGGTCAGGTTCTAATCTGGCTCCCCTACCTTGTAGCTTGAGCAAGCGGGTGGATCTGTCTGTGTCCTAATCTCCCCAACAACAAATACCAGGACAGTGTCCATCTCCCTGAGCTGTCATGAGGCTTAAAGCAAGAACCTACATCAAGTGCCTTAAGTGACTGTGGCAAGGGAGGTGGTCAGGGCATGCTGACTAGTGTTATTATTCAAAAACATGAGGAAACAGACTGGGTGCTGAAGCATCTCACTCAAATCACCAGCCACAAAGTGTCCCAGCTGGGGACACAGGCTGCCACCAGTGCAGATGCCCTCCTCCCTGTACCCTGCCTCTCTGGTACCTGTCAGTTTCTCAGCAATGGGTTTGAACTCCTCAGGACTGATGTACATATCCTGGTCAGTGTCCAGCGAGGAAAAGAGAAAGAGGCCATCTGTCCCCAGAGCCTTCAGTGCGGATTCCTGCTGGGGAGGAAGGGGCTGGGCTGAGCACAAGTTAGCTGTCCCACTCTGTACCTAAACAGGCAGTTACTTCCTGACCCAGCAGCTCCTGCCACTGTCTTCCAGAGTTCCCAGTCCTTTCAATTTGTTCAAATGTCATCTCTGAACAGTCCCAGGGCCTTCCCTCCCCTTTCCAGTCACTTCTGCCTGGTCCCTGCTTCACTGAGTATTCATTCACTGTCCTTTTCTCTGAGTGCCCCTCCCGGCCTGTCGCCAAACCTCTTCCCCACCAGGCCCTGTCCTGCCTCACCCTGTTCTTGCCATTGTCCTCTCCTGCCTCCCCTTTCCACTGACCAGGCCTCCCGAATCCCCCTTTCAGGGTCTCCTGGCCCAGCTTCACTTCATGCCTTTGTCTGCTGTCACTGTCCAAGGCATCTTCTCCCCCTGCAGTCTGTGCAGCTCCTGCCTCTCCCCCTGGCCAATCTTTCTGCTGCCTCTCCACCGTTTCTCCAAGTCCCCTGTCGCCCCATTCCCCCTTCCGGTCCACCGTCACTGTCCTCTTCCTCCCATCCCGGAAGGTACGCCCGGGTCCACCCCACCCGGCCACCGACCCGCAGCGCCCCCATCCCGTCCCCGCCGACCTGCCGCGCGGCCGCCTGGGTCTCGGCGATGCGGGCGCAGGCCCGGGAGGCGGCGGCGGCGACGGCGGCGGCCAGCAGGGCCCCGAGCAGCGTCAGGGCGCGGGCGCGGCGGCGCGGGGGCGCGGGCGGCGCGAGCGGAGCGGCGGGGCCGGGCTGCGCGGCCGGCGTTCGCTCGGCCGGGCCCGGCCCATAGCTGCGGCTCCGAGGCGGCGGCTCGGGATCGGCGGACGCCAACTAACTGGCCGCGCGGGCGGGGCCGGGGGCGGGGCCAGGGGCGGGGCCGCGCTACAGTGGGCGTCAACGGTGCCAGACCGTGGTGGGTGACCTCACTGCCCTCACAGGCCCTTCCAGATGCCCCGGCCTCCATCATGGCCTCGGCGTCCCACGAGAAGGGGCCGGGGACCACCAAGCCTCCTGACCACCTCTGCTAGCAGGAAGGAAGGAGCCCAAGGCCGAGCCACCCTCACTCCACCTGTTCCCCCAGGGTCTCAGGCATCCAGAGCAGAACAACTGAAAAGGAAATCCGCCCCATCCTCCATGCTCCAGCTGGAGGGCCACTTCGCAGAGTCATCCTCTTTCAAGCCACACGCAAGTGGCGCGGGAAGCCCTGAAACCTTCACATCCAGGGCCAATAGTTCCTCCTTTATAAAGAGAGCCACAAGAAGCCCTTTTGGGGGACATACGGAGAAGGAGTTCCTTGGGAATGGAGCAGGTGACATGACTCCGTGGGTCACCGGCACCTTCTTTGCTGGGTCTGGCCTGGCACAGGAGTGGTTTTACTGGAGAACTCTTGGCATACTTGGAGGAGGGCCTTGAGAGGAGAGGCAGAAATACTTCCCTAGCTGTCAATCTCCAGGACCCCTGGTTCCTGCCAGGCTTTCTGCTATTATATGGAGCCCTGGGCCCGGGAGTGGCTGGCTTCACTTTTCCCAGGGCCGGCTGTGAAGCCTCAGCCCCGCCCTGGGATACCACCTGTCACCCCCGTGGGTGTGCGTGTGCCCCTGTGGGGTGTGGGAAGTTAGAGGGATCTAATGGATTCTAGGCCCCTACTTTGTGCTAGACCTGGATTGGGCGTTTTGCAATAGTATCCCATTTTGTTTGCTTGCTTCTTGTAAAATCAGGAGCCTAAGGTCTGGCACCCAGGTCTGCCTGAGTCCAAATCTCTTGCCATCCTACCTCCATCCCCACTCCCCAGGGTCCAGCCCACTGAGCTGGAAGTGGGGGACTGGCCTCTACTGCCACTTCTGTCCTTTAGTTACCAGTCACCACAGTGCCATGAAGACAGGGCCTTGTCCCCCTAGCACCCACGCGGGCCCTAGTACAGGCGCTCCACAGTATCTGTTGGATGGGTGACTTCCGGGAACTTTCCTTCAGAGGGACACATTGAGGGCCCTGACATCTGGTGTTGGTGGCCCAAGGCTTCCAAATGTGCCACTTCCAACTCATTATCACTAATGTTTGGGGACGCCCTGCATACAACAGATGCTATTAGAAAACCAAATTCCGTTGTAGCAGGAAGCAAAACTAACACAGCACAGAGCATGTTAGAAGAAAAGATTGATGAGCCCTGGCCCAGGGAAAATAAAAGAGGGGCATTATCTTTGCCAGATTACTTTTATTTATAACACTTGTTTTTTGTAAAGACACAGATTCCTCCCTAGTCTCCACGGCCTAGGGCAAAAGAGATGGTGATGCAGGGTGTCTCTCAAAGGGATGGGGGGGAACCTGACCTGGGTGCTGCCTCACTAAGCAGGGGTGGGGTCCCTGCCTCCACCCTGGTTTGTCTCTCTGTGCTCTCTCTCTCTCATACACACCCCTGCCTGCCCTCCAGTAGTGCCCTCCCTTCCCTGGCCTACACTCCCCAGGGAAGGCCCTGCTCCTGTAGGGGGCGCTGCTGCTGTCTAGTTTTCCTCTAGCTGTACCAGGTTCAGAAGCCAGGGAGAGGGAGAGGGCCATTTGGTTGTGGGTTTTTTTTTTTTTTCCTTAAATTTTTTTATCGACACATTAAAAATGGACATATTTACAGAGCATTATGTGACATTTCCATACATGAATACATTGTGCAATTGCTCAAATCACCGTGCCTCAGGTTTTTGTTTCTTTTCTGTCTTCTGGGACCCTGGACACACAGGTGATTTCCCTGAAGTCACTGCTAACATCTTGGCAGTCAATGATAAGAGTGGCATTTGGGAGTGAAGAGACACTTGGGGAAACTTAAGGCCTCTGGCACCACGGCAGGAGTAGCGTAAGCATGCCTGGACCAGGAGGGCCTCTCAACTAAGTAAGTACCTACTTATTTCCTGCACCAGGAACTAACTTAGGCTCTGGGAACACAGTAGGGAAGAAGACAGATGAGGCATTCCTCTCTTGAAGGCGAATATACTACCAGGAGCAGGGAGGTGATAAATATACCAACAAGACAACTTCAGGCGATGGTTAGTGTGAGGAGTAAGATGGGGCACTGGGGTACAGTGACACAAACAGGGTGGGCAGCCTCAGATAGAAGGTGACATTTATACTGCAATCTAGATAGAATAATTACTGTATATGTAGTGCCCTTATTACACATTTATCCTGCAACCTGAATGAAATAGCTAACTATCTGAAGAATGAAGGAAGGAGCATTCCAGGCAGAGAAAAGGAGGAAAGGCAAGTGCAAAGGCCCTGAGATAGAGATAAGAGTGGTGTGTTCAAGAAGTATGAAGAAGACAGAATGAGCAATGGGACAGTAACAGAATAAACTTGGAATAAAGGCTGGAGCATCAGTGGCTGGAGTGGGGTTTGAACTCAGGGCCCTGTAGTTGCTAGGCAGGCACTCTACCAGTTGAGCCATGCCCCCAGCCTTTTTTTGTTTTGGTTATTTTTCAGGTAGGGTCTCGTGCTTTTTGCCTGAGTTGGCCTCATACCATGATCATCATCCTGCATAGCTAGGATTACAGGCATTCACCATGTCTGGCTTATTGTTGAGATGGGGTCTTGGCTCAAACAGAGATAGTTTGAGCCACCACAGCTGGCCTTATAAAAATCTTGTAGGCCACAGCATGGTTAACCCTCAAAATGTCATGCTGAGTGGAAGGAGCCAGGCACCAAGGCCACAGAGCACGGCACTCCATTTATATGAAATGTCCACAATAGGCAAATCCATATAGGCTGAAAGTAGGCATTGGCTGCTGGGGCCTAGAGGAGAAGGGGCGGACAGAGGACAGGGAGTGACAGTTCATGAGTACAGGGTTTCTTTCTAGGGCAACAAAATGTTCTAAAATGACATGAGAGTGATGATCACACAACTGTGAAAATTCGAAAGATCATCAATTACACACTTTATTATTTTTTTTAAAAAGTTGTTTTATAGAACTGAGGTTTGAACTCAGGGCTTCACACTTGCTACGCAGTCACTCTACCACTTGAACTACTCCACCAGCCCTTTTTCTTGCTGGGTATTTTTGAGATAGGGTCTCCCAAACTATGCCCAGGGATGGCTTTGAACCATGATCTTTGCTTCCCAGGTAGCTAGGATTATAGGTGTGAACCACCAGCAATGGGCAATTACACACTTTAAATGATATCCAACAAGACTGCTTGTTTTTTTGTTTTGGTTTGGACTTTTAGAGAACTTTCTGGTGCCTGGCCGGAAGAAGGTGGCAGACAGAGGCTGGAGCTATCTTTCCTGTGCTGGGCAGGACTGGCACTGCACTGAGAAAGGTTGCAATGTGCTGGAATCAGAGTCAGGCCTCACTGAGGGGTTGCAGGCAGGCAGGAGAGATCAGAGGCTTGAGTTCTGTTGGCTGACAGTGCCACTCTGAGGAACAATGCCTGCTGGGTGGAGGGAGTTGGGAGGCATTTGGGGGGTGCTGGACGGCGAGGTGCTGTGGTCCAGGACCAGTGCGTCTGGCTGAGCCACCCTCATGGAGGTGCCACAGTGCAGTGTCAGGGAGCACTTGTGTGTATAAGCCTGGAGCTCTGAGCTACCGGGAAGGTGGGGCCTGGGCTATGAATCTGGGAGCTGCCAGCCTGTGAATGACGTTTAAAGCCACAGGATTCAATGAGATCATTGAAGGAGTGAGAGGAGAAGCAGCCTTTGGCCCGTGTGGCCGCAGATGCTGCTGTGTCTTGGAGCATTGAGTGGCTTTGGCTGGATTCATGAGCACGGGGTTGGGGCTGTGATTTGCCAGGAAGTATATTCATTTTAGGGGCCTAGACAGCTTGGCTTGGCTTTTGAGCTATCTAGGCAGGAGAAAGATTTGTTTCCTGGGGTGAGGAAAGGCTGCTGGGTCCCTGCCAGGTCCTTCCCGGGTTGGGAAATGTTTTAATTATTCCTCAATAGGAAGGTACAAAAGGTGTCCCGGATGGAAACTGTGTTTCCAGATGTGGAAGCAGAGCCTTGGCTTGTTTAACCCACTGCCCAACAGTTGCCTGGAGCCTTGGAGATAAACCAATGCCCCGGCCCCACCCCAGTTGGCTGGGGGACAGGAGGGACATTTCACAAGCTCCTGGGCAGGAGGGAGTCTTAGTTGAGCTTCCTGGGTGAGGTTTTTGGAGTTCTGAGCATTGAATACCTAAATCCAAGAGGAATTTTCCTTTTCATAAAACCACTCTCCCCTCCCTTCTATTGCCTGTCCAGGACTGGAGTGAGATTTGAAAATATAATGACAGCTGAGTTCCACATAAGCTATAAAACCCAAGCCTGACATTTGGGAACCTTCCAGCCATTAGTCAGGCCGAGCAGATGGTGATGGACTCATTGTCCCAGATTCTGTTCCTTCTGGCTTGTCCATTTTGAACTGTGTCCAGGCCAGGGTGGGAATGGGGCTGGGACAAGTAGCTGTCCTGTGTTGCTCAGGACCACAGGAGCTGGGATGTGTGATATGAAGTCCTAAAGTGGCAAACTGAGACAAGCTGGTCATCCGAATGAGGGAGGGAGGTGACCACAGGCTGAATCGAGGTGCTTTGTTACGTGAACTCTCATCTTAGTTGTGTGCCTGGCTACAAACAGGTAGAGAAGAGGAGGGCTTCCCAATGACACAAAAAAGTGTGAGTGCCTCTATTATACAGGAGGGTCATTGTTATGAGTGATCTTCAAATTAAGGCAGGGAAAACTCAATAGAACTTTAAAAATAAATTTTTTAACTAGCTAGCATTTGTTGCCCTTAACGCAGAGAAACTAAAGCAGATACCTTAAAGCAACTGAGGC